TGCCTCATAAAAGTGGAATTCGCATGATCGTGTTTCATTGGAAAGGGATAGCAGATTTAAGCGGCAATTCTTTCAATGAATAAGTATTTACAAGGGGCTTTCTGTGGCTGTTTACTTTATAAGGCAACGGCTTTAGCTAATTTTGTGGATATTTTTTAGCGAAGGTGCAAGCCCTTAAGATGTAAAAATTTAAACCATTAAAAATGAAGCCAAACTACTGTAAGGATAAGAGACTCTTCCCCCTGGAACGACTGTATATACTCCTACTAGAAGTTACCGGAAACCATCGTCTATAAAAAAAACCAATTATTGGTGTACCAAAGCCACTACAAGACAAGAAATTCTAGAACTGCATTTAGTTTGCAAAGAAAATGATCTAAGAACGGAGACCTTGATGGCATCGGATGATACTTTTGGAACAAACCGTAGTTATTTTATATTTCAACGTACAGCCACATTTGATTCAGTATATATTTGAATATCAAATCATAAATTAGGCTTCAATTTAGAAGTGCAGGTAATTTTAACATTTGTTCACTTAGGTTGTGGCATTTTTTTTGTTTTATTTTTTAGGGTTACCTAATGTTGACTCCAGTGCTGAGGATAAATTGGTGTCTTCTGGTTGCACCTTCAGGCGCTGCGTATTGTTTGATTTTTAGTTTTTTGGTGTGGTTTATGCCTAGTGCACGATTGTATCTCCTTCCCATTTAGAGTACAGTGTATTATGATTTTCCGAGCTCGCGGATACCATGCCTCTAGTCCACGTCCCTCTGCAATGTTATTTTTTCGGAAACGGGGGACTTGTCATTCATGGTGGGATATGCCCGGACTAGGCGAGATTTTTCTAACAGTTTTCACCACGATAAAGTGGCAGATTAAGTTGTCACTGTTTCTTGCGCCTTATTCATCTAGTAGCGACCTCGGAATTGTTTCCCTACTTTCTTAATCTGTTAACCGTCGTTAGTTTGTAAAGTAATACTTAGGAAATTATCTGTTTCATAGATGCCGTTTCGTTTAATTATTTGTGTATACTACTACCTAAGTGATAATATGAATATCTCGTGAAGCCCTTTTCTAGCCTCGGTGTTTTGATCATGTTTTAGTGGGAATAGTCCACTGAATCTCTGTTTTGTTTTATGCTACAGGATCTCCAACAGGAATATCACGCGCTGAAGATGCGCCTAGATATGATGAAGAAGATGGAATTGGAATACCTCGAGGAGATAGAGGAGCTTAAAAGCATGGTTGACAGTTTGACGCATCAGTTGGAAGAGCGGCGCCATGATCCCCACCCAGAAAGCGCAGTTAATCTCACGCTTGACGCTAACAAGTCCACAGTTGAAATTGTTCAGCAGATCGACCAATTACAATCTGAGCTGGAACTCAGCGAAAAGAAAGTCACAGATTTGGAATCGCAAAATGCTCTTCTTCGAGAACGCATTGATATTTTGGAACTTACGAAAGAAAGTGTACGTTAGGTATTATTTTGGTGGTTATTTAATATTTAGTGGTGAATCATACATAATTTAGTTTAGAAGGCATCAGTTTGCTGTAATTAATGCCCATGTGAACTAATTTATCAACGTACCGCAGTGCGCATTTGTGCATTCCAGATCTTTTGTTTAGTTTTCTCCCATGCTAGCCATCTTTACCTGTGGATGTCACTTTAAATACCATTATTTTAGGTTGTTTTCCACCCCGAATTTCTCAAGTACGCTTTTATTTTCAGACTACTCTTAACACTACTGTTGAAAATACTACAAATGAGCTCATTTCAGAAATTGATAGCCTTAAGACACGGCTGCTTTCTGAAGTATCCGAGAAAGACAGAATGCATATTTTGCTTGGAGAAAAAGAACAGGATTTGGCTGCCGCTAAATTTCAAATAAATGAATTACAACTCACCGTTAAGGTTGGTTCATTTGCACTTGCATCTAATACTCCATTTTGATTTGTCAGTTACCGTTTTCTCAGGAGTCCATGTGTCTAAAATTCATTAAAAGTGGTTCTTCAAATCTAAAATTCCTGTGTCAACGGATAATTGTTTTGCATCGTCCTATTTGCTTTCAGCCACACTTCACTCGTAGAAAGATGCAGAAGTGGAGTTCGCCTTCTTTCGTAGCCTTAATTTGTCTATTGGTTGTTTCTTTTTACGTAAACATCATTACAATTATCCTCTTGCAGGTTTATAGTGCGTAAATTCCGCGATAGGATGAGCCACAAGTTACTTTGACATGAATGCATTCGAACTTATCTCCGTTATTGAAACGGTCTATTTACTCCTACTTAAATGCTGCTAACAGCCTGTTTTTGTCAACTAAAATTTACCTAATGAGGATGTAACTTGTTATAGCCCGTTATTTTGGCATGTCTCCTAAGGCTCAGAAAAAAATTGGCTAATCAAACTGATGAGGTTTGAGTTGATAAGTCTATTACTAGGTTTTAATGTATGGGATTAGTTGTTCCAGTGTTACCTTCATTTAACTTGCATAAACCGTATTTCAGAACCTGCGAGAAGAAATGTGTGACCTCAATACAGAATTGGAAGGTCTTAGGTTGCAGGCTGGCTCAATCAGTAATTCAAGGGGAAACTCACTTTTCTCCGAGGTAAGTTATTTACTAACATAGATGTTGAGGATCCGAGTAACAGGTCTTGCTTATGAAAAAGATTTGATTTTAATCAGATTCAACTATTTTATTCAAGTTTCGTTGCAGGAAATGAAACGGTTGGGGCTGTGTGGGAGTTAATTATACAACCTTGACTTTTTGTCTTTCGTTCTATTCTTACAAGATTGAGGACCGTCGGCGTCGAGCTGAACTTTTAGTTAAGAAACAACAGATAATCATAGACGAACTCAAAAATGAGCTAAACTCTGTCCAATGCGAATCCCGGAAGAAAATTGTAAGTCATCGTAAAGTACGATTATTGCTATACAGAGGCGTTGCTTTTAATTGGTTTACTGTCCCTCATGTATTTGTGCAATATTCCGTCACCCAATTGTCACCACAACCTTGGGTAGTGCTGTTTTTCGTGTAGTTGCAACTCCAGCGGGAGATCGAGTCCAATATAACCAAAGCGGACTCTGCACTGATCACTCAGCTCTACGCTGAAGTTGACCGTTTAAAAAAGGAAGTCTCGCGCCTCGAATCAATTCAAAATACAGGTCGTGATCAGCATGTAGGTACCTCGCTTATTTCTCTTGCATTGTTGGCCTCATCAGTTTACCATAACATTACATTACTCAGGGCTAAATAATAAAAGAATAAAATAATGAGATCACTTTCAATAGTGTGCTGATTATTCTTCCGCCAAGAAGATCTCAGTTGCCTCTTCGTTGAATTGTTGAAAGGATTTTATTCGTTAGGCCACGAACATCGCGAGACATTGCGTACTTTTGTGTTAAATGTGTTATGCGTGGATCTGGACGGTGATGTAGCGTTTGTTCGAAAATGGAAACAAATGGAAATTTATGTGGGCCATGGAAGGTTTTAAAGGAAACTAAAAACACGGGTGTTTCGGTTTATTATCCTTTGTTTCAGTTGACAGACCTTCGAGAAGCTGATCGGATGTCAACTGCATTCAGGCCGGATAATTCCAGTCACCACAATCTCATCAAAGCCCTAGAGTGGGTTTGGCACCAACTTTCCCACATTCTTCTAAAATCGAGCGTATTTATACTTTAGCTAAACCTACCAGTATGGTGTGTTAGGGGCACGTTTGAATAGACATTAGTGTGATTTTATTAGCTCTTGACTACGAAGTTTTCGTCTAGTGTTAAATATTTTTTGAGTGGATTTATGTTCCAAAAACGTGTCTTAGTAAGACTTGTATTATCAAGCACTAGGTCTATCAATTCATGAATAAGTTAAGTTTCCTAAAATGTTTTCCACCTGACATCCAATGTCAAAATCGGATCACTTAGTCTACGCAGATTGTGCTTTTTGATTTTACTCTTCCTGGCTAGACATTAGTGACAACCACCACATAGACTTTTACCTCTGAGTTCTTACTTTCCCCACTGTGTAGAGAAAGACTTTTGGATTATAAATGCAATGCGGAGAAGACGAAACAGGAGTTGGCTTCTTTGCGAGAACGGTTCATGAAGGAGACACACATTCGTTATGACTTGAGTCGAGAACTTGCTCAACAACGCGCAGTAGCCCAACGCTTGTCTCAAGAACTTCAGTTACTTCATATCGCAAACAAAGGTATTTGAATAGTGCATACTGATTGTCGCAGAAAATTTAATTTGAAACACCTCCAGGGTTTTCATTGCCCTATCCATCTCTGTACCATTAAGTGTTGATTTCCTAGATGCGCTGCTTAGGTTTCGTTGCCTTGATTGTACTCTGAAGCCTTGCTAACCCTATATGATAGCAGGTAATGGCAATGGTGAATGTCAACTGCGTTTCCAAAGATGTCGGCAGCTTTAAGGTGTGTGGTGCGATAAATAAACATTTTAACGGGACATTCGTCAGAGCATGCATCTTTTTGTCGTGAAAAAGTGGTTCACCAAGATTCAGGATGTTCGTGTGTTCGAATTTGCGGTGGACTCTTATTGCTTCGTCACTAGAGAGACATAAACATGTTAAAGCTATTATTGTAAATATTGAAGATTTTGCAGGGAATTTAGTAGGGGTACAATGTTTCTCATCGATTGTGTGCAGTTATTGCCAATGGCGTAATCGTATGTTGTCTGTCGTCAATGAAATTGAATGAAGTTCCCTTTCTAAAAGCTTTTCTTGTTAAGAATTGAATTTTCTTCTATAAAATTCTAATGATTAACCTTATTGATAGAAAACACGGAGAATTCGAAAGTCTTTCATGAGGATGGAGACACCGATTCAACAGAATTGTTGGGCAATGTGGAACAGGGTAATCCCTCCCTTGGACCTTCCGATCTGCAGGAGAAGGTTGAATGCAACCATTCGTGATTCAGAATATCTATGTTCACTACTATCTGAACGTCTTCTGCATTGATAACTATTCTTGAACTCAGCCATGAAGAAGTTTACCATTTTGATAAGTTTGTTATGGGAGCCTGTTGAAAAACTTGTCCTCAACCGGCGCAGTAGAAGCCATCCATTTCCAAGATTTTCTATCTATTGGGACAAATACCAATAGGGCATGGACGACAGACGAAGCCAACGTTACTATCTCATAAAATGTATGCTTATCCTCTTTCATCTGATGGCTTTAAATCTAATCGTGTCATCTCCATTGGAATTGACTTCAGTCATAGTATCATATTGCTTTCGTTTCGAAATTTTAGTGAAGCCTATGCAGGGAATTCAAGAGAGGGAGAGTGCATTTACACGTAGAGTATTAAAGGTGAATGCAAAGTGCTAAGTATCCCACCAAACGTCTCCGCTGGCCAATTATTTCCTTAACTGTGCCAGCATTGAGCCTTTCAAGATGTATTCATGTCAAAATTGTTTGGGGATTATTTATAGTCGCGTGTTTGAGTTGGTAAAATAAGTGCTTAAAGATTGATATTCATTAATTATCTTGGCAATAGAGTCAATGCCTGTATTGTATAGCATTGCAAGCATGGACTTCTTCCGCCTTTTTGAGGTAGCTTATTTAAAGTAATCAAAGGCAACAATTTGCGGCGCAGGAGTCATTATCGAGCAAACGAAATTGTCACAGAGCCGATTTTACTTTGAAATCACCGTGAGAAGACATCTTCAATTTGACGGAGTATGCAAACCACAAGGCTTCGGCGTTAACAAGTTGATTATCTTAATCATTCAACTACTTGGAGTGAACCCCGAAATTCCGTATGATGTAGACACCATATGTCATCAAAAGATTTAAGTGTGAATTAAGCAGTCAGAGGTATTTGGCAGCTCAATTGTGGTAAAACACGAATTTGAAGCGTGATGATAGGCCTGCTGCAAAATATTGGCAACGGAACAGAGCTGCAGACGTCAGTGATGCCCATTCGGCCATTTCAACGCGTGAAATGTGCCCGAGTTTTATTGAACCGATCTCCATGTGGTTTGCTGTAGTCTTTGTGCAGAAACATGCCAATTAACTATGGGGCAGGGCTACTTAATACTAACTTTTGTTCAGCTTAGCAGTTGACTTTAAACTAAAATCGGATTTTGTAAACTGGTGCACACACGATGGGCTTTAACAACGCAGCAGCCCACTAGGGGAAGTCACCAACCGATAACAGAATCACGCACCACCTAGGTACGTCGAGTGCTAATCTCAGCCTCCTCAATTCGTTCGTGCCAAATACCTCATTCCACTTTGTAAGGTGTCATACCGTGTCTGTGCGAACCTAGCGTGTGCATCGCGGTACTTTACGCGCGTTAGTGCGACTCATCCACTTTTATTTCGCTTTGCATTATTACATTGTAACCTGTTTAATTAAACAAATTTATAGAACACAAGTACACCTAATTGGGTTCACCCTGATAAATTAGAGATCTCACTTGACTGTGTCCTCGAAATACGGAACTTGAAGATCATCTCATGAAGACAGTTTACGCGAGCATTTAGTGCTGGGCCGCAATGTACTTCCCAATAGAATCCGCGTACAATTTGAATAATTGTAAAGAGGTTTATTTAAATGAAATCAAAAAGGTTAAAGTGGAGTCGGGACGCTTGGCAACAATCCCGAAGTAAATTACGTTTCTATTTTCTTAAGCATGTCTGTTTCTTCGATAACGTTGGCAATCTAAAAGGATAAAAAAGAGGCATTTAAATGCAGTTGGGTCTTACCAGCACCTGGTTAAGCACAGGCAAGTCTTCTGTTAAAGGGTAACGATTCACACCTTCGTAAAACAGCACGGCAGTCATTTTATTAACACATGCAATTCACCCGCATTTGAACTAATAAAGCGAAAATGTATGTGCCACACCTCATCACGGAATAAGATTACAAATGAAAATAACCTCAACTATTACTATCATATGCGTACCAATATAAACACTTACTATACCTCAGAATCAAAATTGCACCTAGAGGAGAAGCATCTGAAAATCGCTTACAAATTTGTACGCCGGGTTTATTCTTAGATTTCTCAACGATATTTCACTTTGACTAGAGTTGCCACTTTTTTCGCGCGATTGAAATTCCTCAATATCTTTTTGAAGTTGAGTTATTTCCTTGTCCAATTGGACTAGTTCCTTTAAATCCTATAAAACGAAAAGTACGCAAATTCGTCCAGTCTTCTGCAATGGCATTAAACGGCTCATCTCTAGGTATGTTCATGCAGAATCCAAACACCCTTGCGGTTCAAGCTATTGCGAATATTAGAAATGCCCAAAAGGTGACAAATCCAGCTTCGAATGAGTTAAGTGAGCAGTAGTCGCAGCGCTTGTTGCTACACTCACTCCATAGGGTTAGCACCAAAATGGTGACCCACTTTCGATGCACATAGTTTCATTATTTATAATTGGCGTAGTTAAGCTATAGTTTATCAATCGTACATATATCCTGCATTCCAGCGATACTCGGTCATGAAAAGCGCAGATGACAACTATTTGCGACTATCATTAGTAAGAAAATATCACCTACCCCCTTTTCAATAATTTCCGTGGACGCTGTAGAAAACGTCTCTATCCTCGCTATGAGGGAATCGATGTCCTCGATTTGAGCATTTAGATTGGGATTCGACATCTGTTCCACTTTATTCAGCATCGCTAAGCTTTTCTCACGCAAGTTATATATCTGCGTAACGAGCAGTTCGTGAGCTGCCCGCAATTCTCTAATAAGATTCTCCTTGGCACTACTAGCCTCGGACATTAATATTACAATTGATTCATTATGCTTTTCTAATTCCGGCGTTGTTACACTTATCAATTCGTCACATAACCGACGAACTTCCTCCCGAACCTAAAACACAAGAAATGCAGAATCACTGTAAAGTCAAAACTCGCTGGAGTCAAATTTCAACCGGATTTCAACATGACTGGTAAAGACAAGAAGTCGGCGTTTTGACTAAATACAACCCACGATATTTGTGTCGTTGCGTAGTGTCTTAAACTAAGCACAAATAGACGAGACGGCCCGAAAAAAAACGGAAGAATCAGAAGGTAACTGCTATAATAACAGAAATCGAATGCAAAATGCTATTGTACTTTAAAATAAAAGGTCTGAGGCACATAAAAGGGTTGTATGGTGCCAGGTTTGTGTGAGTTCAATCACAGAAAAACGCTCCTTGATGAGTACTCATTTATTAACACGTACAAAGTATTTTGGTGGTACTTGAAGCTTCGACAGTACTAATGCCTACCAATACACAATGATAATAAAGCTATGAAATGATAAATATATGAACGGAAAAGATGCAGATGGATCAATGTCTGATAGAGAATGAAGAAAAGTAGATCCATCAAACACACTTGTTATCGTATTTACAGTAATAAGATGTACCTGGGCGGTATGCTTCGTCTGGCAATTGGAACAAATAGACCTAGAGCAGTGATCGCATTTGGCAAGAACTGCCGACAATCTACAATCGCCACAGAAGCTGCTGGAATCAGTTTGTGCACTGGCTACAATATCATCAAGTGTAAATGATTTCTTCAAATCCGCAAGAGAACATGATAGACGACAAATAGGACATTCCGCCCTCTTACGTAGCCAATCGGTTATACACTTTCGGCAAAAAGTGTGCATACAGGGTAGTGCACAGGGATCATCAAACCTAGAAAGTATAAACAAACGCAGAAATTACAGGATGTAACTGCATCAAGTAAAACTTCGTCACCACATTGACAGGGGAAAAATACACATTTTGTGAAGAAAGAAGCCAATTAAGTGGTACCTGGACAATATCATTCACTGAAAGCAACAAAGACAGCTCCTGTATCATAAGATTTTACGTAGGAAGACAAAATACCATACCAATCGACCGAAATTTTTAGGGAAACTGTAGGAGACCTATGAAATCTGGTGATATTTGACAGTATGTTTCTTACATAAATGCCGTTCATTGGATTGAATCAATAAAAAAAAGATAGTACTAACATGACACATTCGCAAAAAGCTCCAATACTACCTCGAACTACAAATGGAACAGTCCAACAAATCCGGCGATACGTAGGCCATCGAACACGACTAGAAGCCGCTAGAATTCTTGGGTAATTTAAAGGAATGAAACAACCAACTAAACATAAGATAAACTTCTAGTCAAAAATGCTTTACCAAACTTGTATTCACACTTATCTTTTTGCAAAATGCATCCAAAGGTCTTCATTTCATTTCAGTTATTTTTTTAAAGTCAATACCTGACAAACCTGCCCCACCTCATCAAACGATTTTAGCAATTGTGGGTTTCTGATAATCCTTTGCACCTTAATGTCGGGTTATCCGGTTTAGCTGCACGACTTATTGCGCGTACCATGCATTCCTAGCAAGTTGCGCTTTCCCCGAATGTGTTGACCTTCTCCCCGCGACCATTGCCTTCCATCCATTTCTTTCATTAACCACTGCTTATAAGTCCTTAGGTGAGAATCAAAGGTCGTAGTCAACTTGGTAGTATTACAGCTAATGCCGTAATGCGTACTTACTACCTTCCCAGCTTTTTCACCCGTGGAAAGTAAGCGGTTTTCCTAATCTCCTATGCTCCCTCCATTTCCATACCTCCGCATGTGTCCATCCCCACTATCCGTGAGCTGCTTGCACGCTGAACAATGTGAAATCATACTACTGAATAAATCAATCCACATTCATGCTCAAGCTCGCAATAGTACCACCCTGCCATTATTCAGGGGTTTATCCGGATGAATTTTGACGTCCTCAAGACGAACTCTCCAGGCCTTTGTTTCCCCAAAAGCTGCAAGCAACGCAACCCGCCGACGTGCTTCCTGCGGATTCGTCGTCGAAATACGCGGTCTGGTCGCCCTTGTACCAACTCATCTTCACCACAGCAGATATCCCCACAGTAATGCGCGCCGAAAGAAACACCAGTAAAGGGGACTTCCCCCGAATACACGGCCTAATCAAGACCAACCACGGATCATAGATCCAGGAAGCCCATCCCATGCCGTCGATCAACCACTTCATCCCGTGGATCCAACTTGAGCAATGATTACGAAAGGCGCACACTAGGAGACAATGTTTGCGAACAAATCTATTTTTGTCTTTCCAATAGTGGCTGACAGTACTTAACTGTACTCTAAGGAGAATAATCCTGCACGCTGAAAAGGTTGCAAGAAGGTAAATGCATTCTTGGTTACATATAAAGTCAATAACGGTTAGAGGGGTGCAAGCGATATGATTAAAGCACAAATTGAATTAAACTACGAATTCACCTCCATTCACGAAAGCTGTGAGGTCGTCCTTCACTAAGCCCCACTTCGAGAGATACCTTCGACATTCGCACAAATTTTGCCCCCACAAAACAGTCTGTCGACATATCTTGACCCAAACGGGCTGTCCGGGGGTGAGGAGAAGGGGAAATTCCTGTGAGTCTGCGTTGAAGTTAGACCTTTGGTGATATTTCTCCAGTTTCTGACAATACCCACCGAAGCAAAACAGGCGACTAAAGTTGCCGAGCAAAGAGCACTGAATACCTGCAGGAGCAATTTTGCGGTGCAATTCTTCCACAACTTTTCAACAATTTCCCCGAAAATCTATTTTGCTGAACTTCTACGACTGTTTCAACGGTATTTATTGGTGGTATAGGCCCGTCTCCTACATCTCGACGGCTTATTTTCCGCTTTTTAAATCGATCCTCCTCCTCATCATCATCTCGATCAACTTCATCCATGTAATCCTCGTCTAGTTTTAGATAATATCAGGCAATCTCACACTCACACAGCCTCACTGCTCCCAATCCCAGAACAAAAAGAAAGACGACCTTCTCATTCATTTTTGCACAGCGATTAAACGCTGCGTGTACCAACACCCACAGCAAAACCGTACCGCCAAACTGCATAGCCCGCCACCACAGATTAGACAGAGAAAGAACGCTAATAAGCACAACTAAAGTTACATTGTTTCATTCAATTTGGCCTGTATTTTGACAAAAATTCAACCACTCAGGTTTAAAAGCTTCAGTGCCTTTCAAATATAAATACGCTTTAATTTGCAGGTTCGCAAATCAACTTTACCTTGCATAACACCAGTATCTAAGCACGAACGAAGGAATTGGCTATTGCTTTGTGCTTCCGCCGTCTCCATTCTATACCTAATGTAAAATTATCCGCAGTGCCACCTCTCCTGCTGTTTCCTTTCGTTCAGAGGTATATTTTTTTGATGCCGTAAATGCTTGCTAAAAATAGTGTTAGTTAATGCATGTGTGCATATGCGGTTCTTTATGTATTTATTTGGGTGGTTTAAATGAGTCGCATTTGACACCAGTTTTGTTGCTCTGCCTATGTCGTGCTCTGGGTGGGTCTTCAGCAGTGCTGGCTCAAATTACCGTGTTGCCTGGCGTGGTTTATTAATTACAATCTCACTCTGATGTTGTTTGCTGTTGTTGATCTCCAATAGGCTTCAGCTGTCTCCTTTTTTGCCAATTTAAGTGCTTTTCTTGCATTGAATATATGTGTTTCGTTCGTTCTTTCCATTTCTTTGTGCTCACAAATCCATGCTTTTAGTCACTGATATCTCATTTACGATTTTAATGATCTATTTTTGCAGATGCGATATTGGACTGATTGGCCTGGCCGTTATGGGCCAAAACCTAGTTTTAAATATGCTCGATCACGGTTTTAAGGTAATTTGACTCATACTCTACAGTTGTATTTCGGAGGTTTGCGTTTTTAACCGCACTGTATCCAAAGTCGATGAATTCGTCTGTCGTGAAAGTAAGCGGAAAAATTTGTGCGGTGCGAGGACCGCTGCTGAACTGGTCGCCAGTCTTGCCAAGCCGAGAAAGATAATTATTCTTGTGAAAGCTGGTCAAGCGGTTGATGACTTCATTGAAATATTGGTAAATTACTTGGGCATCTACAATATGTTTGTTGAAATATTTACGTTAAGAAACCATTTAGATTTCATCGTAGCTAGTTGGAGTTTTTACAAATCGAGCATTAAGTGTTAATAAGTGTTAGCGCTCATTCGTCGATTATTTATTGCTTTTAGCCGCATTTGATTTGTACCTTACGTTTTAGTACTAGTAACGGTAACGCGACCTTTTGTTGATTCATTATGTAAGTCGCTTGTAACGGTAACCATATTCCTATGGTTAATTTTGTGTTTATATTTCTTTTGAGATCCCCCTCTTAGAGCCAGGTGACATCATAATTGATGGTGGGAACTCGGCCTTCGCAGATACTGATAGGCGGTGTCATTATCTTAAATCGAATGGCTTGCTTTTTGTCGGTTCGGGAGTAAGTGGAGGTGAAGAGGGTGCGCGCACCGGGCCCAGTCTCATGCCTGGGGGACATGCTGAGGCGTGGTAAGTTCGCGGTGTCTTCGACACGAATATCTGTGTAACTGAATTCATAGTACTTGGACTCACTCACGTTAAGCCTTTTCCATGAAGCAAAAAAAACAACTGGCATGACTTACTTCCCTTGACATTTTTTTGGTAATGTTTGGTCATGATGCTAAGCGTTTGAAGGGAAATTGGTGGTGAACTCGCTATTTTTAACGCATGTTAGGGCTTTCCAACATTGAATGCATAAACAAAGCACTTACGAGTACCATTGTTTACGGCACACCATTTTCAATGAGAATTTATTGGATACCACGGTTATTGTTTTTAAACTGCGATTGTCCGTTCTAATTTTAGGCCTCACATCAAAAACATCTTCCAATCGATTTCTGCGAAAACCCCAACAGGCGAACCTTGTTGTGATTGGGCAAGTTTATGCTTAAAAAGTCTCACTTGTGTTAAAAATACTCTTTGCTCATGCACTTCCGTGTATCAAACATTTGTCTACTTTTATAATAATACCAGATGACGAAAATCACCGTTGTTGATAGTGCTAACAAGGATGCAAATCGGAACAAAACTTCTTTTGTAAAATCACACTACAGCATCGGTCATTGGTACGTATAGCTTTAAAGTGGGTGCAAAAATGGGAAGCCGGTGTTGTATCTGGAATACACCTTTTGCCTAGTTTTGGGAATCTCGAAGTGACCTATCTTAACATTGCCTTTTTCGATGTGCTTGGAATAGAACGTATCAATGAAAGGTGGGGTCGCTATGTTCTCAGTATTGCTTGCTACGGAACATATAGCTAGTTAGTTTTACCATGAAGAAAATATAATGGGATTTGATACCAACCATTGAATCTTTGCAACTTGATGTAGCACGAAATTCCGACTGGAATCCTATGTTCTACCGGCACCTGAAGGAGAATGACTGCTAAGAAATCGTTTTGCCACCGGAAGGTGTGCAGCCACAGTATCAATCAAATTATTACTGATTGAAAGGGGCTCTTGATTAATTCCGCGTCCTCCGTTTATTTCCGCTTTCGTCCCTCTAGGTGTTACAAATTAAGCTTACAGAGGTCTTTTCATAGGTGATTTGTGAAGTTTTTGGTTATCATTTTTTAATATAACTAAGCTTTTAATGTGACAGTGGAAAGTGACGTTGCGTGACATAATTCCTGAATTGACTCCCTTTAACTCCCTTCTCGTTCATGTTTCGTGTAGGTCGGAAGTGGTGGATCCGGCCACTTCGTGAAAATGGTCCACAATGGTATTGAATACGGCGATATGCAATTGATTTCGGAGGCTTATTTTCTTCTCACAAAGTACCTTTGCCTCACAGCTGCTGAAGCCGCAGAGGTTGGTAAACACCTGTATCATGTCTACACGATTTTCCAACAACCTTTCGTACAATAGTTCAATTTCAGTTTACGTTCCCATCTTTACTACCTGCTCATAGGTTCGCCTTGTTCTTATGTCCTGACATCTAAACTTGTATTTTAATGCCTGAAACCTGCTAACCATACGCGATTTTGTCAATCTCAGGTTTTCGATAAATGGAACGAAGGAGAACTTGAGTCTTACCTTATTCAGATAACTCGAGATATTTTGGCCTTTAATGACGAATCTGGCACCCCACTTTTGGAAAAAATTCGTGATGTTTCCGGTCAGGTAAAGTATTCAGTTTTTCAGCTAATGAGAGTTTATGTCTCTATTTTTTTTCCTAGAAGTTGTAAACAGATTTTCAATTTAATTAATAGCCTACAGTTGTAGCTCGTAAACGCTTTAGAACCGAGCAAGGGTGTGTTTGAGTGGCTTATTGACCGCCTTGAACATTATTGAGTTCTTTCCATCAGGTTATTCTCTTACCAGACCTAACGCTGAGGCCCCATCTTACGTACCTTAACGTGAAAACATTCTCGTATCCTTCACTAAGTACCTTTTAATAAAATACTGACTTTAAATAGCAGTGCCCTGCACGCAACTGTGTTTGGTCGATACCGGTGCGGGAGTGGTGGTAGAGTGGGCACCTGAAGGCCACTGTTGCACCATGCGCAACATGCTCTTACTCGTTATCCAATCACAACCCTGGGTTAAGCTACTGATTACTTGACGCCTAGCTGACTATTATTAGAACTATTTACTGCTTTTACATTGGTAAGGTCGATTTTCATCCACGCCATCTGCACACACTGACTGTAATCTTTGCTTTCGAAATTTTGAACTATCGTTTTCCCGGCAGACCTTATGATATACCAGGGATAGATTTAGCTGAACCAATTCCTTTTTTACAAAAGCACACCTTTATCAGCCCCTTCTGACATTTCCTTGAGGTCTATGCTTTATGTAAGACCATGCCCACTTTTATTTATCGTTTTGATCAGTTATGCGTGGATAATCGTACCTTTTGTTAGGGCCCACCGTCGTATCATTGGCTGCTGAGATTCACTCTGGAGGTTTTTGTTCGAAGCCAGGTTTACCCCCAACAGATTTTGTCAAGAAGTTCCACCACTTGAGGTCATTTTCATCATGGACTAGATCGATTCAGCTAGGCTTGACGAGGATTTTTGAGATTTTTATCCGCTTTTATATTTAATTCGTTTTCAAATAGGGCCTTGACGCCCAGAAGCAAAAGTAGGGTCTATGCAGTTTCTCACGTGCTTTAATACCGGTAACTTATCAGGATGTCAACTGTACTGTTTCTGAATTCAGAAAGGCACTGGAAAGTGGACCACAATCTGCGGTCTTGAGCGAGGATGTCCTATTACCCTCATTGGTGAGCTGAAAACGTTCATGCAGCATACACCTTAATGTAAATACTGCAACCGACCTTGGTAATTCCCTATAGTGGCTATTTTCATATACACGACTAATTCTTATAACCAATGCTAAATTTACAATTATGCCATTTTTATATTTTCCTATTTTGGAGTTTTATTTTATTCAGCTGAGTCGGTTTTCTCAAGAAGTCTTTCTTCGATGAAAAAAGAGCGAATAGAGGCATCTAGGATTTTATCTGGTCCGCCTCTTGTGCTGGAGAGTGACAAATATGGCAAGACTCAACTTGAGGAAAAGGGGGAGGAAGTGGAACTTATTCGACGGGTGCGTTCTTGTGGGCTTTTTAAGAAATTACTCATTCTGAAGGCTGTTTAGTCACCCCCCTCCCCCAACAACGTAGAACTCTAATGCTTCTATCACTCTACTTCTATGTGCATAATAGAATCGTAAATAAAACCCATTCGGGTAACTGTCCGAAACGCATGGAAAGTTTCCTTTTTACAGGCCAAAGCTTGGTCTTACAACGCTGGCACGTTTTGAGCAATGGACAGGGCCAAATGAGCTCCTACTTTGCCTGATTTCCATTCGAAATCCTTGATCTGTTGCACTTAAGGTTTTTACCTTGAAAGTTGTGCTCGTACACGGAATGGAGTGCACATTTGGCTTGTTTTTAGTGTATTTTTACTGCATCCTACCTAAATTTTACAAAAAAAATATTTAGGCATTGTACGCATCAAAGATTGTCTCGTATGCTCAAGGATTTATGTTATTACAAAAAGCTCGTGAAGAATTCGGTTGGGATTTGAATTTGGGGGCCATAGCTCTCATGTGGCGCGGTGGTTGCATTATTCGAAGGTACGCGCTTCACTTGTTCTTGTACTTATAATGCATTCGGAGTACACATGATTTTGTGAAATCCCAAAGCCTATTTTAGGTCTTTTGGTCTCCATTAACGCCAGTGAGAATTCTTTATTTGTAGCCGCTTCCTTGGCGATATCAAGGAGGCTTATGCTCGAAATCCCGGCCTTACTAACCTTCTCCTCGACCCCTTCTTCAGAAACGCTATTGATCATTGCCAAGTAAGGGTATACTTTTATTACCAAAAAAGATCAAATCTGTGGCCTATTATCTGTAATCGTTTTACTAAAGGAGTCCTGGCGCTCTGTTGTCTGTATGAGTGTGAAGGCCGGGATCCCCGTGCCGGGTTTTAGTTCGGCACTTGCCTTTTTTGATGCATTCCGATCTGCGAGACTGCCTTCAAATTTAATACAGGTAATTGTCGTACGAAAACCCTTACTTATCGTTGCCAATTCTGTTATTGTTTTGCTAATTATAGGCTCAACGAGACTACTTCGGAGCACATTTATACGAACTAGAAGCATCCCCAGGCACATGGCACCACACTGACTGGACGGGTGGTGGCGGCAAAACCACGTCCTCAACGTATCAAGCCTAATGCTCTAAAGGCACTTGACAGCCAGAATCGCCAATTGATCCGATTTCTTCCTAGGCGTTAGATAGGAGTGTTCATCCAATTTCTGAGACTACAACACTGCAAATTCAATTCTCTGAGCTGACCATTCTATTTCCGGATTGAATAAAATTGATTCCTCTTTTGGATGAAGTAGTATTTCATAAATTCTACTTTTTAGTACATGGGGGCAGCACTTTTACGAGCTTGGGCACTTCTCGTGCTGTGCAGGGCTACCTGTGCATATTTAAATAGAGGATGAAGCAGAGTCAAGGTACGTATGTAAATACACGTGGGTACATCAGTGCGAGATGTGGCTACAATACGTCCTCATCCGATCGGTCCTCGTCGACATTGCCCGAATCGGCGTCGCCATGTTGCGCTGGCCCAGAGTAACCGGAACCAACACGACTTGCGTTGGCGGTCGTCTTCTGTGATCCCTGAGCAGGCGCACTTTTGGAGTGCTTTCCTTCACAAGCAACGATTTTCATCTAGAGGAATGAAAAAAAAAAATGATGATGGTGGATGAAGGCAGACTTGTCAACTCCTCTGAGCATTTATCAGCCATGAGCTCTGAGGAGCTTTCGCAATCAAATTGTCGTGGTGTGGTGGTATTTCTGTTGCGCGACGCTCAACCATATTGACTTGTTACATTGGCGTTTACCAACGAAGAGACTCATCAGGTCATACCTTGTCGACATGCATGGCCCCGGAACCGTCTTTAATTTCTACATTATTCAGCACGAGTGTCCAAACGTTATCGCAGTTCCTATAGGCGTTCAGGTAGCCTTGAAGATTCAGTCTCGCCTTTACTTGGGTCGATAGCGCTGTGCAGATGCACTGGTCGAACTTTTTCATGATCTAGATGAAATATTCTAAGGGTATATCACATGCCTTCATAGCAGTTTGTGGTTTTAATAGACTATGATCGAGCATCTCGTCTAAGGACTCCCGTAACGTATTGCCAAGGGTGGTTCCTCGGTACATCTCATGGTAATCATCAGACATGCTAGAAAATCCGCTCTGAAAGGTAAAGCCAAAGCATTTAATCAACTTGAGCCTCCACGGTATACGTATCACTTAATCACAATATTCCGCGCCAATACCAAGAACAAGTTGGACACATAGTTCTGAATTTAAACAACAATGTACATGGTGATAAATGTGCACATGGAGTATAAGTGAGTCAAATCGAGAAAGTAGCAATTCGGCGAAACTGAATAAACAGCACTTGCCTCAAACCATTCGTGGTGAAACAAACATATATTGAACCGCCTAACTTATACCCGAATCGGCCATAAAAGATAAATTAAAGAGCTACCTAAGGACCTTTCAAGCCACAATGTCGATCAAGTTACTTCACAAATTTTGCACAGTCCACCTTTCGTGTCGTCAATCGCGAGTTTGATTGGTTCCATTGGGCATTCAAACTATTTGCCCCTTTTCACTCCACTAAACAAACACTAATAACTCGTAAAATTAGCGTGGAAATTTGTATTAAAAAAATGCACATTTTGTAAAGGTGAGGAAAAAATCTGTACATCTACCAGGTTACTGGGTACCCATGCAAGTGCTATCAGTAAGTATATAATCTGCATTTCTTTATTATATCCAGAAATTCCACAGTTAATTTTATCCTTCACTTGATTTATTATTAGGCTAATTACGTTTGCAGTCCAGGGACGGATCCGTAGGGGAACGAGTAAAGTGGCCACCGAATTCCCATCAAAATTGTTGACTTTCCCATTCTACCCTCCTGTAGCGTCCCGAGACTCCCTTTAAGTGAAAAAAGGCACAGTACTCGGTCAGAACACATGTTCAGCGCGGAGGCGTCCAGGCTATTGGCATGGCTCAAAAGGCCAGCCCACCCACCCAGTACAAGGGGGGGCTAATTCAAAGTACAGAAGTGGCGCCTCACCAGAACCGAGGGATAAACCACTATCGTATTACATAGCCTCCCTCCTCTTTTGAGCTTCGTCCCCGACGCTCTCGCAGGTCAACCTCTCGCATCAGCCATTACAACGTAGTCGGTGCAGTAAAGAAACACCCACGAGCCAATCGTGCCAGTCACCAAATTAGCGCGCAACTGAGGAGATACTTGACCTCAACGTCACTGATCCCTCTTGGCAGCTTGACTGGATCTGGGGTTTCGTCCGGTTTAGGGATTTCATTCAGGATGGGGAACTGCGCCGGCCATCATGCGTGTCCATAGATAGATGCAGGAACACTGGCCTAAAAGCAGATTTGAATAAGGGAATACAAGATTTAAAACAAGTCCATGGGGGATGGTAGGGGAAATCCGTAACGAAACTTCCAGATGTTTCACGGCTAGTGTCGCTACAGTTGTTAATAGCTTTTCTGCAGAACACGGGACTGGGAGAGATGTCGAAGGTAGACGTCAACATCAACCCTTCTGTTAGGGGTCATCACCATTCTCCCATCCGTAGCATATGTACTTCTTCCGCTCTACTAAGGCTTATTCTTACAAAGTCGCCTTTATTTGTGCCCGCAAAGGTGGTTTGACCATTGAGAAATATACCTAGGATAATCTTTTTACAATACTATTAGGTTTGAGTGCAGATATTGGCAAGATTTGCAAAATCAAGGCAAAATAAATGCTTTGAGAGCTCTCTAAAATTAAAATATAATTCGCTGAAACTTTAGTCGCTCAGGTGGGCCCTTATGCCACCGCAGAATATGCTTCAGCACTGCTGCTTTCATCTATAGATGGATAATAGCAAATTTGTTAATTTATTATGCAGGTTATCGGTTTTTTACTTTTCAACTCGAATATTACTATATCACGCAGTATCAAATACGTATGTCCTACTTGGTTGCTCTAGTATTTTCGAAGATTTACTTATATTAGTACAAGCAATTGACTGTCGATTTATTTAAAAAGTTTGTACGTTTTACACTTTCCAAAATATCTTTTGACCGGACTACTGCGTATTTTTTGTCTATGTCACTGCAGACTTTTTAACTTTCCAATTCGGAGGCATGGGCCAGGCGCGTTTGTTAAAAGTGAAGTGGTACTTATGGAAGCATCGGCACATACCTGACGTATCCGTCTTTACCATTGTTTCTTAGGATTACCTTTCTTCAAATCTGCATTATGTTTATAGAAATTTTTTCAGATGCTTGCTACTGATTTCCACTGCCTTTACGTGGCTAGTTTGATTGTTCGCGTTATCGTAGTTCGATTTCTTTTAGCCGGTTTCGTTAGCTTCTTAGAAACTCACATTTTATTATTTTTAAGTATTTCATGTGCCTTTTAGCTGTCTTGTTCTGGTCATTTTATCCCTATCACCTTGTATTTTTTGCCCCATCTCTCTTCGTCTATAAGCCAGTCACTTACTTCACTTTATCGAAAAGTTAGCTCTCGTCTTGGCAGAGCTTTAGTCCCCTCCTGCTTATATTTATTTTTAGACGCCAATCTATGCATATGCCATCAATCTCTCACAGCTATTTTGAGGAATTACGTAGTCTGATAACGCTGGCTTGCCCTTTGGTAAGATAATCGGTTTCGTATAGTCGTCGTTTCATTTGATTCGAGGTTGTGGCGTTCCATTTTCTTTATTTTTTAATAATAAAGGTACAAATAGCTAATACGTTGGTTCTGTTGCTCATCGCATAAATCCTTCTCTGAGAATTTCCATAGCAAACTTCAGCTTTCACACATGACAGATAATATATCTATGGTAATTTTTATTCTTGTGCATTTTTCGTTTTTATGCAGTATCCACAAAAAATTGTGTGCAAATTCAGTTTACTTTTGTTTTTCATCTGCTTTTGTCTCTCTTTAGATGCTGACGCAATTCCTCCGGTTTATTTGTCCATTCTTAAGTATAATAATTTGTGGGCACTTCAGTCGAGAGGAACTTGATGCGGCCTCTTTAGCCAGCAGTGTAAGCGTATTGTACGTGCACGGGTTATATGTAAATTCCGAATGCTCGAATTTGTGTTGTCAACATGGCCCTCATAATCTGCACCGCTAATACTATTATTTTCATTTTCACGTGCAGCTAAAAGTTCCTTTCAACGACTTAGTCATCTAGAATAAAATAGGTACTGAATGATGCAAGTGGAAATGCATATCACTTCAGGACGTGTTTGTCCCCTCAGTTCCTATCCCACATCGTCAAATCGGAGAGTGTTAATTTCTATTGCTAATTTTAAAGTACTTTATGAGATTTATGATGATATTTGGTGCTTTTACGTCCAATTAGGTTATCAACGTGCTTGGTCTTTGCATGGATATGGGATTTTCAACGGCTTCGGAAACCCTCTTCAGTCAGGTTCGTTTATCGATTTAAAACTGGTATTTAAGGCTGACTTGCCTGAATCGGCTTCCCACTCCATACACTTGCTTGATAGGCAATCATTCGTTTTTAAAATGGCAGATAATGTAACAAAGAATATGCCTATCTGGCTTTTTTTCACTCACTGCGTTAGGATCAAGCTTTCATAGTTAGTGATGCTTAGCTCCGTAATCACCTGATTTGTTGGACTCCGGTGAACAATAAGCATCGTTTTCTCCATTCGCTTTTCTTTATTACATTTTACGAGTTCTGTCACTTACGTATTTTCATCCAGACTTTTGGCAGTTCTAAGCGAAAATTGATGGGTATCATCTTACAACGAGGTACGCTTTCCTCCTGTCTTACTTCCCCCCTATCGATAAAATTCTGACCGAATAATTTAATGTAATGTTTGCGTTCGTTGTCATGGTTCCTCCAGTAGTATGTTTTGATTAGGCTTCAAAGGCTTTTTCCTGAAAAAGTTGCGTAAAGGGGGACTTCGTATATAAACGCAGTTACTGACCTCCGTTAGTCATCAGTTCTGTTGAAAAAAATGCTATTTATCTACCTTTCTCGCTGATGAACATGTTTCATTGTCAGATTTTGTTTAAAGTATTGAATCGTAGATTAATGAGCCATGTTCAAATAACTGTTTTTATTGCACTATAATTACAATTTTGGAAATGGTAGATAGCGCCTAGAATGCCCATATTTTGTTTAAGCAACTTTCAGACACATCTCTTTAGCTTTGGTCATAATGACGCTGATATTCACCACGCTGGCATGCGTTCACGTCAATATTGAGGGTTTGCTACTGGTGGCTGGGCAGGATCCTCTCATATCATCGTAAGAATTTTTTCTTGTCTTATTTCTGCGGGCATTTGGTCGTCTGTATGGGGCTAGCTGTACTGTATACCACTCTTCGCTCAAACTGATACCAAATTTTAGCAAATTTTAGCAAATATGTTACGTAAGCGGTTCTGAGTAGCCTGCTTAAAGCTGTAAGTTTTCGTCTTCTCAGCTGGGGGTCTAATTTCTCGTTGTTATTGAGAAATACGTCCAATCTCTGAAAGCTCGGAAAATATCAAGTATGATTGAAATTTAGGCCTAAAATATAAATGTAAAAATTGAGAGAAGGCAACGAAACATTTGTAAGTTAAAATCGGAATATTAAATGGTGTCAGGTGGTATTTTGTCTACTTTAGGCTGGCTGCTGAATACATTCTGTTCTTTCTTCCTGGACTCTATGTAAGTCTTGAATTGTTCATATACAAGTTAGTTGCGATGCATTGCAAGGCCATTTGTAGCTGTTAAGCTTCTTTTCGTTGTGACCTCAAAGGCTGCAAAAGTTTAAAAGCATTTAGGTGGAAATTGCACGCAACATGCGTTGTGTGTGCGCGTGCACACGTTATCCAACCAACAGAAATTAATGTACGAAATTCTCAAAACTGATGTTGTTTTGCTTGGTTTGTGGTTGCTTTGTTGTGCGCTTTTCTCCTCGTGTGAGGCAAGTACTTATACGACCAATCAATTGTTAATATCTTCTCTTGACTTTACCGAACTTTGCTACTTCTCCAATTACTATCGTTGCAACTTTTTGTCACTGAAACGGGTTTTGCTTTCGCATAAGAGTCTATATTACATTCGGTAAATTTGAATTGTAGTTCATACGAATTTGAATCCCGATACAACCTAATGCAAATAGTTTCCTCTAGTTTTTTCTACTTCTATCGTAAACAGCGCTTATGGAAGTTTCCGACAGTGCGTAGTAAAGTTGAGCACTCGTTTATTTCTCTTACGACAACAGAGTTTTAAGACTATTTCTTGAACTCACAATTTATCTTTTTAGTGTGACTTCTTATTCATGACTCTCTCGCGGTACTTGACCAGCCAAAACCTTGTGCGACCCATGATGATCGCTGCCTGCGCGGGAACAGTCTTCACTGTTTTAACTCAACCAGCGGTTTACAGATTAGGTCTTGGTCTCAGGTGAGCATTAATTTGTACTATTTGCTGTCTTGATGCAACTCGAATCCCACATTATTTGCAAACAGACGTCATTTCAAGGCCCACTAGCTTTCATTTGTATAAAGTCTTTTGGTGGGCGTAGGGTTTCGGGCTTAGATTAAGTTAACTCATCTTACTATAATTTCATCATCAGAAGCTTCTCTTTTCTGAATGTAACAAAGCTACCTTCTTTTCTCGAATCTGCAACAATCACGGACTTTGCTCACGCGAAGATTCAATAGCCTTTTCATATGAATCTTCTTCAGTTTTGTCTAGTACTTTTTTCCCCATTTCCTGAGATTTCCTAATTCGCGATTACTATTTAAATAAACTATCTTAAGGTATTTTTGCATCCATTAACCGTTGAGACTACTTTTTAAGGTGATACGTTAAACACCCCAGTATGCGATACCTGTTTTTGCTGACATTATCGTATGAAACACTTGTACGTCTTTTTAGGGCCTCTGCGTGCTTTCTTTCGCTTTCGTTTGCGGTAATGCTCTCATGCGAAGTTCTATACATCTTCGTATATCGCGTGTATTCCGAAACTTGGGCTGGTAAGCTCGAAAATTAGACGGTTTTTTGTTATTTCAGGTTGGCTTTAATGATTCTCTGAACTCATGCATTTACATTCACAGATGTGCACTTTTAATCCCAGAAAAGTTGAGCTTCTAAATAACGTTAAGTTTGTATACCTTTGTAATCCACTGTGATTAACTGTTCGAGCAGTGATGGGTAACTATATCCTCCAGAATACAGACTTTTCATGAATAGTTCCAGAGTTTTGCTGAGCATAGGTTGCATTTTCTATTCACAATCCCTCTGTGTTCACGATGCGTCCTCTGATAATGGTAAATGCATTAAGCCTTATTCCAAAATCATACCAATCTTGCCAAAATGTCTGATATTCTCTGCTTTTTTTGGGTACTTTGAAGTGCCATTCAAAGCCTGCAATGTTTCCTAATTCGACAATGACTTAGAAGTTGTGTTTATTGTGCACCTCTGCATCTTATTCGGTCTCACTTGACGGATCGAGGAATTCTCCTCTGCTCTTATTCATTTTACAGGCTGGGATTTTGCTGCGGCAATGTCCGAATGGGGCATATTCTTCAAACTTGGCATCCCGGGTATTTTGATGATAGGGTTTGAGGAATGGTGCCTTGAACTTAGCACCTTTATCGCAGGTAAGCTTCATCTAGGCAGCCACCGCGGTCATTTTCTCACTTGTGTGTGGATATTTTTAATGATTAATGGGAGAACTGGGTCGAGTCATTTTGTTCGGTACTTGAAAACTTACTTTTTATTTCCTAGCTGATTTCGAAAGAAGCTCATTTTTTGCCGTTCATTTTAAGCTTTGATGGATTCTTCTGGATGGGAGCCAGAAAGGTGTTACTTATATATCATGTTTTGTTGGACAAAATCACTCCTGAAGCGTCGAAGGCGTTAGATAGCCAACAGCTAGTGCTACTATTTATCTACAAAAAATGCCTCAGTTACTTGATGTGAGTTCATCCTAGCTTACTAATGAGACTTGCTATAGATTTTCCCAGCCACGATTAGCATTCATCAGCTTTATTTATCTTAGTGAATAATTCCGGTAGGGTATTTGTCACATCTGACTACTTCCTGATAATTGTCAATTCTTGAAATTCCCATATTTGTTGTAAATTTCCCTTTGCGCAATAGCTTAAATCTACTTGAGTTTCTTTTGGAATTCCACTTATTCTGCGTTTTAATCTAGCTAAAAATCCAAATTCGTTAAAATATGCTACCAACGGATGCATTAATGGTATTCTCTGTTCTTCGGATCCGATTATTAATCTCACTCAGAGAGCTTGATTTAACGCTTCATTGCATTACCTTAACTCCTGCTAACTGGCTTTACTTGTGACTTTGTTAATGGGATATTTTCAGCGGTCTTCTCAGTTTTACCTTTTTTGTTCCATTTGGGTCCTAAAAATCTCTTGTGTGTTTAAGGCAAGTGAGATTACAAAGTGTTGTCGCTTCTTGATTGGAACCCCTGGAAGTGACTAGTTCCGTTCACTTTTGGGGTATCTTTGGCGGTAGTGCAATAACATCTCAAATGAATGGGAAACACGTGATCACATTATTGAAACATTTCTGAAATAATCATTATCCAGATTTCTTTGTTCTAGGAACAATCAGTGATGCTGTGTTAGGTGCTCAAGCAATCGTTTTTCAAATCCAGTCATTCATTTATATGGTAAGAAGTTTCTCAATTAAAAGCCTACTTCGAAATGCTCCTTTTGTAGCTAAGATCCTCCTTTATGTATTAATCTGTGTTTTGTTCGTTCTGATAGAGTTTACCTATTGATTCACTCCAGTCCTCATTATTTGATGGGTTTATTTACAAACTATGATTTCCATCCATTATCACTCTGAAATTACTAAATGTTACTGTTTTCGCCTCAAGTTCACTTCTCTGCATTCTCGGGTGTGCATATCTGGGAGAAACGTCTCTTTAAAATACGAAATAGATAGCCATCTTAATATTCACCAGTGAAATTGGTCGGTATGTCATTGTTATGTGCTATTGAAAAAATATGACTAAAACCATGGGTTGCCGTTAGTTGATTCTCTAGCAAGCCTTGACGTTTTTCACAAATCAGTGATTCATTTATTTAGCAAATTGACGAGGAATTGAACCAAGTGCTTGAAGCTCACATGTGTGGATTTTTTAATCCCGGTTTTTATTTCAATCCACTTAATATTAGTGTCACTGCTACCTTATAAAATGTTACTTTTTGGTATGATACAGCCTACGATGGCATACTTTCTTCGTTTATATAACTTGGCGAAATTACACTCCTTTATTGAGTAGTGTGGTGCAAATTTATTTACGTTATTTGTGTATGCACCGATCTAACTCGTAATGAAGTAACATAATACCGAAAATACTTCTATATAGCCAAACTTAACGTTTTTTGCCGCCTCAAATATCTTCTTTTAGGTTCCTTTGGGTGTTTGCACTGCAGTGAATGTGAGAGTTGGACAGGGATTGGGCGCCTTTGATCCACAGAGGGCGAAACACACGTACATGACCGCCCTCTTCTCAGTATGTAAGCCTTCTTCATTGCTCCTACTCTACCATCAGAATAATCGGGCCTGTTTTAGAGTCCGTGTAGTCTCTCGAGATTCTACGGTAGTAGCATCTTTCAAGCTTCAGCCGATCATTCCATTGCTTCAATTTTACCCCGAGCGCTGTACCTATCGTTTACCTATTCCCTGGCAGTCCAGTGTTTTTTTCCGTATAATCAAACTACTTTCCTTCCAATTCGCCACCTTATCTCATTATTGTTATTTCTCAGTTCAATGTAAATTTACTGTGTTCTTCTTTGGTAGTTGGGATAGTCGTTACAACCGCCGTTCCTGTCGTCTTGTTACGGCACAAAATACCATACCTCTTTACGACAGACAAGTGAGTTATCGTGCGCTTGCCAAATACATTCATGCATCTTAATGTTTTACTCTAATCATGTTTTATATTCTATTTCAATTCTCATTAACAACCTTGTTGAAACGGCTTAACATCAAATGATTCACACTTCGGCGGTTTCTTCCAACAGTGATTTCACAGCTTGCAAAGACGTGTTTTTTGTCCATCTACGCGCTTAGCTCTATTGAAAAGAAATGTTCCTTTTGTGTGTCTTAAAACATTTAATTTACTGCCACATTTGCTCCAGTTTGCCAAGCAAAATTACTGCAACCATTTTTGTGATTGGTCCGCTTCTGAGTGTTGGAGTAACAACAACTAGCTGATGATTTGTAATAAATGTTTTCACTTAGAAGTTTGATCATGAGCATGTTGGAGATTTTTTCATGAATTTAACTCATTCAGTCAACGCCATTATTTTCATTTGCAATTTTAGCATATTTTAAATATTAAGGTATTTTTAAGAGGAACACTCGGTACGTGGATGGGGTGAATAGTTATTGCTCGAGCACATGCAACTGGAAGTATTTGATGCCACGTGCTGCAACGCCGCGATACTCTTCACATTCTAGGAGTGTGATTTGGATGTTATCTTTTCAAACTTATTAAGTTTGACTTGCTTTTATTTCGACTTACTTTGCGTTTATTTATTTCTAAAAAACTTATTTTGCGTTTCAGAGAAGTAATCGAGGAGGCTGTAAAACTATTTCCCATGCTTCTTATCTTCCAGTTCTGTGAGGGCCTGGGCGTAAGTTACCTATACGTGCGTGTTTAAATGTGACGTAGCATTGTCTGCGAACCGACAACTTTAGCAGCATTGCTATTTATTCCCTCTATCTCATCTACCTCTATTAAATGAAGTACCTCGTATGGCGTGGTTAATAGTTCCCCATACTTGCATTTTATATCACCAGCTTGCCCGCTAATCATTTCATTGAACGCCTTATTCACGAGTAATTGTAAATTATTATCAGTAGTCGTTATTCTCGTTTGCATTGCTTTTGTTTTCATTTTTCCCTGCTCTTTAAGGTGTTCGAATTATGTTACTTTGCTCATAGTCACCTTTGCCTCCATTTTTGAGTTACTGAACGGTGCTTGCTTCGCCGATATTCCTGTTAGTCCTGCTTCTCTGCAAGACTAGCTACTCACCTGGCTACCCCTGACAGGTCGAATAAACGCGGTTCTCTACTTGAATTGTTTGCTACCTGGGCCCCTGTTCTGCCCTGGTCGTGCGTCTAAGCTTATGAGACTAAGTTGCTGCCTCTAGACCGTGAAACCTTACAAGTAACGGCACGCAGCAATCCCTTCGCTTTTGATGCGAATAATTCCCTTTCCACCATTATTTTAGCGTTAATTAAAAACTCTATGTTAAATAGTACTTGAACATTGGTTAAGAAAACATTACGAGTCGTTATCTACCGGAAGCGTTACGTCAAGTTTAATGCTAATCGGCTGAATGTGAACCCCCTAATATATTCTTATCTCGTCTTAATCGAGTTCGTTTCATCGGTCATGGAATGATGTAGTATGAATACTGATGTCAGTATTTTTTGTGTATCATATGTTGAAACATTTGTGTATTCATTTTTCGATCGTATACCCTTTTTGAGCAATGAGTAAAATTATACCGAATTCTTAAAGCCAAGCAGATTTATCAATGCTGTATTTTAAATGCTTTGCATCTACTTTTACGCGCATTAACTGGATAAATAGGCGCCTTGCTACTGCTTTGAAAGGTGAAATATTTTAGCTTAAACCATATTTTCCTTCTTCAAGGGTGTTTCGGAGGCCGTTTTATTGGCATGCGGGCGACAATTTTTGGGTGCCATCACAATATTCCTAGGCTATTACGTCGTTGGCCTTCCGTTGGGCCTTCTCCTCACTTACAAATTTGAAATCGGAATCATTGGTGAGTTGTTTTATGTACAGGAAACTGTTCAGGTTGTTTTGCGTTTTTAAACATACAATTATTTTCATATTTTGGGGTTTATTTTGTAAATTGGCAAAAGCAGAAGTGATTTTACCTGCCCCTGTACTGCTTAAGACCAAATTTATTTACACCTGGAAGATAAATTTATGTAATTTTTGGGAACTTTATTTCATTAAACTTCTAAATTAGAGAGTTTTCAACTAATGAGTATGCAGCACCCGATGCCTCATTTCCACGTCAACCGCTGTTGCTCCCGCGTAAGAGGTAGTGTCGTCTATACTTGAACTAATGTCATCGCAGAGGAAAAATCTTAAATAAAAAATAATCTCATCTAAGACATCATCCTTTAATCTGCAAAGATCGCTGAGCCACGTTGACCAATTACTTGCACTGGTACAATGTTCTCTAATATTTAGCTTTGTGGTAACACAAATTTGGTCAAAAACAAAGTTTTCATTCTCACTGCAATCTTTCCATGTTTAACGTTTAACTAAGCATCTCGTGTTATACTTACTGAAACAGCTTCTGTAACGCCGAAGAAATTTAACAAAGTGTTTTTTAGGAATGTGGATGGGACTTGCTACCGGTTTTTTCCTTACTGACTGTGTCTACACCTTCTTTGCTCTCCGGACAGATTGGAAGGAACAATCTAGAAGGGTATGAGTATCACTACCTTCTTCATTTCTGTTAAAATACTTTATTACGACCTCTGTTTTTCACCTTGAAGGATCCTTTATTTTCTTTAAATGTTTTTCATTCCCATGTTACCTAAAACATATCATCGATAAGTATTGTGAGTGTATTCCGAACAAGTAGTTTCAAATAAGTTGGTTTCATTTGCTCCATCAAAACTTCCTCACTGTGCCTACATTGATCTTAAAAGAAGTAAAAAAAAACGACCATATTTCCAAGAAATGATTGGATTGCTTAGCACTTGATAGTCTCGTTATTACTGATCGGCCGGATGTTGCAGATGTAAACATGGGAACTACACATCTTAGCTCTTGTATGCTCCTTTTTTGGCGGCACTTGGGTACGCTAGAAAGTTAATGCCTCTGTGCACGCAGATGTTTCTTTTGCTTTTGATGTTTACTCTATTGCCTTTTATTTGCAGGCCTTATGCAATGTACGCCAAAATTCTGAGGGCATTACAAACGGCTACAGAGGTGTGTGACATGCCTTACTGATACAACATTACGTATTCTTTTCAATTTTTTGGCAGTTCATTTCAGATTTCACTTCTTCTAAATGCACTCTGTAAATACGTTTTTCTCCATAGCTTTATGTATATAATGGTTCATTAGAGTCCAAAAAACCATACATCTTGTCTCTTAATTCATGTCGTAACTACTTTTGTGTTGATATCTGCATTGGCAAAATTGGGCCTAACTGTAACTCTTGAGATTTTAAGAGGTTTAGGTGATGAATTATGCTCCCCATTAGATGGATGCTTCGAATAGAAAGTGATGTCATTTCACTACCAATAGTATTTCTTACCTACATTAGGTTATTTAAGGCTTACTCGGTTGCAATTTCTTCAATGGTCGCTACGGTTATGCTGCATGCAAAAATTGCGATATATTTCTCGTAGATGTTTGTATCATGCGCGATGGCATGTTGAAACGTGGTGCTTTTTTAGCAGGGTGGTCGCTTGTGAAAAGCTCGGTTGAGATACATCCATTTCATTTACATTGTGCACATCACTGTCGTAAGAGAATGACAAGTGCACATATGCAGCGCCCATATAGGGTTACGTTATATCCAAGTAGTTTGATATACGACACAGGATCAATGAATTCAAAGCTTCTCGAAAACAGTTTGCGTTACCTAGATACCCTAAGCTATTGTAGTCCTCTTTTAGCAATTTTTAAATGTCCCTATAGAGTAATCATATAATGTCATTAAAGCTACTTAGCTACTTATTTATAGAACAGCTTGCCTCTGTTGTAAATGGCGCCGGGTACTTTTACGTTTTGTAACTTCAGACACACTGCCACATGATTCCAATTGCAGAAGGTTTGTTTCAGTGAAATTGGAGATGCCAGTGGATGAAAAACAACCTTCTTTGACAACTCATCGGCCGGACTGCATGAAAATTCGCCTGCGTATCGTCATGTTCGCTACTATTTTGGTCTTCCTAGTTTGTAACCTGTGGTATCGTTTATTCCATACTACGCCTTATTGGATGCGTGTGTGTCAAAATCAAACAGGTAAGAAACCAAGTGGCGAATTTTGTAGGAATTCTCCCTCTTCCGCGCATTTAACGTGGTAATCCTCACCTTGGTTTCGAAAGAAAGGATAACCTACCTTCCACTTATTGTGCCTTTGTATGTTTATTGCACAGCTTTCAGCATTGTTTACTCACTTCCTTTTTAATTCATTTGAATAACAAGCCATTAACGCTTTAGCGAATGCTTGGAATCGTGGTAGTTGGTTATAAGACCACACTCCCGAGATGCTTGTTTTAACTATAAAGTGGTGGTTGGTACTTCAAAATTAATGAAATTACCCTTAAAATGAGGTCTTGTCGCAGTAATTATTGAGGGAAGCTGCTCGAAGATGCCAAAATAAAATAAAATTGGATGGTACTATGATGTGCCGCTTAAGTGTCGGGATTTCCATTGCAAATTGTAGTGCCTTGTATGTTCCCGAAGTCATAGCATGTTACAGTATAACAGACCATGTATTAACGCACAGAAGGGTTGGGGGGCTGTTAGCTCGGTTTGAAGTCCATCCTATAGGACAGAGGCAGGACGTCCAGAGGTCTGGATGACCCCGCAGCTCAGCACAGTTAAACGGTGTACCGAAACAATGTGCAAGTAATTACAGGCACCTCAGCTGCCGCTGTTAAGCTTATTCGGTGGTTCTATAGTTTCGGTAGATCACGATGCGATCCTCGCATAAGGGGATATCCCAGTGGGGAGGGGGATGGTAGCCCATTGTGACAGACTCTGCTTTGTCGCATTCTCCTTGGCTTTGTAATGACCAGCATTCTTCGCCGGTAATGTTATGTGTAGGCTGCGGTGGGCAGAGAAACGTGCCCTCAGGGTACGCTTCCATTTCAGGGTGGATGACAATTGCTCTGTGTCTGTGCATTCAAACAAACATGTATAATATTATAATAAGGAGGATAGTGGGATCATAGTTCCTCTACTTGCTGGGCAACTGATACTTGTATTACACGCGGCAATTTATGATGCTTGAACGTCGATCGTCAGAGAAATGGGGAATCTGGAAAAATGGGTATTTAAGAAGAGTTAGTGGGAAACGTGGTTTTGGGGCATGTAAAACTTTGAAAAAGTGTGACATTTTATTAAGAGACTAGTAAAACTAGGATTAGATATATGTTATTTCATACTTATCACCCAATTACTTGGTCTTATACCATTTACACTTGCATTGTTTATTTAGCACAGTAACACAGCCAGTTTTCACACACCAAAAGATTTGCGGAATTTTGCGACTAATGGTCTTGCTGCTTAGCAGGCAAATAGAAAAAATATATTTGCTCTAGCAAATTTGGTTTTAATCGACCGTTTTCGTTTACGCTCTTCAGGTCACCATCTAGCCCGCGTGTTCCGTAATTCCGCAGGGGTTCTGTTGATCGGCCTTATTTCCGACCGGTCTTGTTTTGGACTTTTTGGATTCGTAGCACTATGGACAATTTTTTTAACTGTGATAGTGTTATTTGGTGCACTACCTTCTGGACGAATGACTGGAAAATCCAGTTAAAAGATTTTACGGATGGAATATTCCTCAATCAGGTGTTTTGCGAAATGTAAATCTTTACCCCATTTGCTGCGTTTTTTGTGCTTTTTAAAAAAAACTGAAAGCTGCAGCGCCTGTTAAGGCTCTTTTGTTTCCCCTAACCTTTGGTTTTCCTTTGCTAGTTGTAGTTGTGGGAAATTTCCCCTCATGTTCTTCATCGCAACCTATTGGTTATTCACATTACTCATTCAAGTACTTTTGACACGTGTTTGCTCAAAATAATAGTGACTTTTGGATTTTACCTTAACTAAAATGCCAGGAAGTTTTGTTTGATAGGCTGATTTTATTTTGCTTTACTTTTGTTCCAATGCTATTACAAAAAGCCATAAAATATTTTTTCCAGCCAAGCAGTAAATGGTATTTTACTTGTCACTTGCCTTTTTATTTTTAATTTTCTAGCTGTAATTGCTTAAAAGATCGGATAAAAGTCGAACTCATGTGGTTCGACATTTGACTTAGCATTTTAACTCTTTTTGCCATTCATCTTTGGAGTTACTGTCTACGATTTTTGAAACAAAACTATTGCCCTAATATTTTTATTGCCTGAGTAATTAGCAATATTTTAACACTGCAAAGCTGTGCTAGCAATTAAATTTTGAGCTTAAAATTGTCCGATATAAAGGCCTTTCGAAATTGAGATTTCCTTGGTGCTCCTCCATTCTTTTCTACTTTTTGCGTGCAAAACTTAAGTAGCTATACTAAAGTAAATGCCAACATATTTAAGAAACAAGTTGTAAAAGATGGCTTATAATTTTGCTTTTAGACGCTGCCTTCCATAATATTCTGTAGGGCACTTTTGCTACGACTAAACAGTATAAATTTGTTCCTCTTTATAAATGGGTCGCAATTACCCTCTGGATGCTCGCTTCTCTGCGCATAAATTGAATTTTTGGTTATTTTTGCGTGCTAATGGGAATAGATTTTTACTCAGTATCAGGAATGAGGTGGCGAGTTTGAGTTCCTAACAGTCACTGAAAAGACAGTCCTTTAAGCACAATTCCTTATCGCAAATAAAATGCATGATTTTGAATTGCTATAACAATGCACAATTTAAAATTATACTTCTTTGGCAGGGCACCTACCGTTTGTGGTGTAATTCTTACTAGTATAAAATCTTTTTCCTGGAGCTATTTTTAAGTTACTTTTGAAGTAACACTATATCGTAGTAGCAAAATTGCAGATGGGTATCAAAACCTTTTTTTTGTTTTAGAGCCGAATACGACTGGACAGCAGTTGAGCCTCTTCTGAGTAACGCCAGTACTTTTACTCGTTTGCAAAACTGGAAGATGCTTGTAAAAAATTTAGAAGAGTTTTTCATTGTAAGTTTTTTAATCTCAACAGCGTAACTTAAAGTTTAATGCAAAATAGTTCTTAAATCTGTCTTATTTCAGGAAGAACTGCAACACCTTGCAGTAATTGCACCTCCTAGTATTTTTCACATAATATTTTCTCCTTCATCGTGTAAGTGTCTTAGTATTTTTGCAAACGTTAAACAAAATCAGTTGTCCAATGAACCAACTACGAGCGTTTTTTTTTCGTTTTGTTAAAAACTCCTAACTAGCTAACTTTCGCTTGACTATTTGGTAGAAGTTACAATACAGTGTTTCACGTATTGCTGACTCCTTCTGTGTTGTATAATAATTTTTATTCAAAACTGATTTATCTTAGGCGCCGCCAAAACTGAGCTAGAACGTGTTACACTTCTTCTACTGCTTGCGGCCATAAAATGCAAAAGACGTGAATTATACATCCGTGATATCATGAATAATCTCAACACTGAAACACAAAGGGGTATAATGCAGTCTATAACCAGCGTAAGTCACTCAGTATTTATTTTGGGCCCCTACAATTTTTTGATGCATGTATGTCTTTTAACAGCTCACTGAATATCCAGATACAACGGTTAGCTTGTCCGGACTTTATGAGCTTCCGTCTGAACTTCGGTACAGCATAAGAAAGGCCCTCTCGAATCGAGTGGAATTGTACTTTCTTGTAGGTTTTATACAGCTTATCCCCTATTATGAGTGTCTTTTAGCTAGCTGAAGAAGTTTTTCATCGTATCTGCGAGCATTGTCCAGACTGGACTCCAACAAAAAGGACCCTTTTTAGCCCACAGCATGAAAAGCGACAAGGGAAGGATTTTAATGTTAAAATTTCACGAAGTCGATCTCTGGCATCTTCCCTGGACCTTGTTGGCCTTGCCCTCAAAAGGTCTAATGAGGCGAGATGTGATATGCTAAAGAGTCCACAAAGTGTAGAAACGGACACGGCGACTACCTCTGAAACGGGATACGAGAGCCGTCCGCCCACCGACAAGCCTCTGAGAGACAAACAGGAATTCGGGGAAAATAGGGATTTGGACTCAGCCCTATGTATCATGGAGACTCAACTTGTCAATGATGGAGACGAAAAGAGAGAATCTGATACTCAAATAACCAAGGCGAAAGCGAAATTGAGGCAGCAATCCTTAGTAATGTAGGTCTCAAGCTTATAACATTTCACTCATTTCTCTGTTATGTATTTGGCGTCCCACTACAATAAGAAAATTTTAAGCATAATTTTAATTTTTTTTAAACAGTTTTTCCAGTAAGTTAAATAAGAGGAATTTTGAGTGTTTTAATTACATGGATTGTGTTTGTATCCCATTCGTTGTTAAGCTTTTCCAGTCATTTGAATATTCTTAATCCGTTTTAATCGTAAATAACACTGTCTGGAGTTAAAATGGTTACCAAATCGTCATCGTTTTTAGTTGTTAGAAGGGCAGGTAGGAGTGGGTGTATGGGTTAGTGGATGACGATACCCTGGAATGGCCTCCCAATTCTTCTCCCTCTTCCCCTAGTTCAGAGCAGGCGGACCAGTTGGAGGAGGTGCAATCGCAGTTGGCGGAGGTGCAGGCAGAGGTAGACCGGCTCCGGACGGAGCGCGCGCGACTGGCGGATGCGGCGGTAGCAGCGCGGCACTGGCGAGACGAGGCCGATGCCGGTCATCAGGCCATCGCTCAGCTGCGCGAATCTGAGCGCACTTGTGAGAAACTCAAACAACGCCTCCAAGCTGCCCAATACTACCGAGTAGGAATAATGCATTACTGCATCATTAATCAGATTGATACGCCTTGCATATGGTACAGTACTTTGTCTGAGTACCTCATAAACTGTTATTATCCCCGTCAGTAGTTCTCTTCATTTATAATTTCATTTCATTAGTGTCTTGCCATGTTTATAATGACTTGTTAAGTTTTTCTACTTATTTGTGACAGAAAAAACAACAATTTAACTATTTTTCATCTACATAATGGATAAAAATACAAATTTAGTATTTACAATTATTTAAGGCAGTTGTGTAGTACAAATATATCGACAAGTTTGATTTTACGCATGAAATTGATTTTTTAAAAGGCCTACTTGTTGCAAAGATGGTGCTTATTCAATTAATCGTAAAAGAGGGCTTGTTTTTAACAGTCTCAATCGCAAAGCTTCCCTATCCTTCTATTCATGGTAGTAATAGCACCCAGTCTGTTAGCTTACACATCGTAATCAATTTTTTTAGGTTCGGTGTCAGGAGCTTAGTGAAGAAGTTGAATCATTGATCAAATCTCGTGATGCTCTTGAAAATCGTCTTTCTGAGCAGCAAGCTGACCAATTCAAAGTTCACTTACTTAATGAAAGGCTCATCAAGCAGTCCCAGCGAATAATGGAACTAGAGTCGGTAAATTTGAGTAATACTTATTTTTAACGGAAATTATTGACGTTTTACTTTATGCTTTAAATGGTTAAAGCAACGTGAAAAGGATTTGGAGGAGATCTGCCAATTGAAGAATGAGGTGGCAGAGAGTCGCATTGATGCACTCAATTTGTCACGGAAGGACTTGTCTACAGGGGGCGTCAGTCCTAGCCCCTCCGACTGCGAGGGAAGGGAGCTACTCTCCAGATTACCCAGTCTTCAAAGTGAGACATCTGCAGCGGATACGATGATGGTGCATTCTTCTCGAAATGAAGCGTCTCAAACGCACGAAGTGTATGACGGAAAAGCAATAAAACTTCAAAAGGTGAGTGCATTCAGCAAAATTAAGACGCAAAATCTATGTTTGATAAATCTAGATGTTTGGGACTGTAGGACCAGGCTGGTTGAGTTTCAAGTAAAACGTCTGAGTTGTTATAGCAAGTATATAATACAGCAGTCTTCCGATAATTAGGCCGGTTTTTATAATAATTATAACTACTGAAGGAAGCTGTTTCCCCCACTATGCCATTTGTGGGAAACGGAAAGCAAAGATGAAGCATGGAGCGACTGTTTCGGTGTGAATGGAGAGCAAAGCGGTGTTTTCGTGACCGATTTGCGTTTGGCACTAAGCCCCTCTCCTGCCACTAGCCTCCTAATTTGATTCATTAGTGTGGGGACAGATGGTGCCAGGTCGCATTCCTTGCGCCGTTTATGCTTGACTCAGATTCAGAGCAGTACCCGACATCATCACCATCATTCATCAACCATGGCTACCTTGTGCTCTTGAACGCCGCTTCCAGGCTGGCGCCACTCTCACCATCGCGCACACACGAAATTAACATGCATCCCTTGTTTTTTAATTGAAAAAGTGATCCTTCGAAGTGAATTTCAGATTTTCCAATCAGAGGTTTACAAATTCTGAAGGTATTTCACCTTTCCGCTCGTATATTTGTTAAGAGTTTGAAACACTCTTATCTCGCTTATTCAAAAGTAGTAAACTTTGAATAAACTTCATTTACGGTGAAGCAAATAAATTTAAGGCATTGAAGGAAAAGCAACTCTTTTGTATCACAATGACTTATAATGACTTTAAGAGGTTTCGTCAGTTTTCGTTCGTGATTTGTCGCTTGGCGCAATTGAGGCGTATTTGAATGAGCCGACATTTAACAGCTGTATATGTCTTCCGTAAAGCGGTGTAGATCAGTCCACCCATGGTTGGTAATGAGAATATTCTGAATATTCATACATAGTACTTCAAACAACTCCTATTCAGTTTCAGTGTAGGTATTGCTTATTGGCTGTCGCAGTGCTGTGATGAATGTGTTTGGGCACCTGCAAAATACACCAATTCAGTTAGAAAACATGTAAAGTACATAAAACTATCCACTGGACCTTGTTGACCCACCTTATTGTTTCTTTTCCGGAACATGCTCACATTAAGCACTTCAAACTTATCGTTGGCACGAGTGTCATTACCCAGAGCTCACTAACAGACAGGCTGGCCTACTTGATTGTTGGTTAACTCCTCCATTCACGTCATTTTCAAAAGGAATTAGGACCCCTTCCATTTTGCTATTGCAACAATGCAAATAGTCTCATTACACCAGCACTTCGACGCAAAAAGTTTTGAAAACCAGTGGAACGGCATTTGAATCAGCAATGCTCTCGTAGTACTTGATTTCTTTTTTACTTGTACCGAGGATTTATTTATTTTCCTTCATTTAGGACTACTTTCTTAGTCGGAGAGCTAACGTTACTCACGGAATCTGTCGGCAATTAATCGAACATCAGCGTGTTACCTCGTCTAATTTTTTTGTAAAACAATTATTCAATGTTTGTTTCTCAATTTTCTTAAGTAATTTGGACTTTTTCGTAGAGGAATTTTGCCTTCTTGGCTGAAATTAGAGCAATTTCCAAGATTTCTACTTTGATTAAAGATGTAAACTAACTGCTTAAATTTAAACACTACTTATTTTCACAACCCTGGACTCACGTAGATGTAAAAACACGTAAATTTCGAATTTTACATTAAAGTGGAATTTCGTTTCATCCATCAAACATATATTGGATTAGTCTAATACGATGCGCTATCCAACGATACCGGCGATTGATGGAATTTTTCCCTAAACGTAGTTATGCGTTAACTCAACTGGCTTCCAATCACCCTAAAACTCGCGTCATGGTGTCATTCGCACTTACGACAAATCACAACCTCTTTGAGGCATGGATCTCTAACGTGCAAGTGACTTCCACATTAGATTCTGTTGTGCTACTTTGAGAGCTCGGAAAGTAAAGGCGATAATTTCGTCAGAAGGGAGATTTCTCGTCCGTAATGGTACTCAAACTGTGAACGCGCAAAGTATTCGATATCTAAAGAAAAAATAACTTTGTCGCACTAAATTCATTTTTAAGAACTTGTGGGGAGGCCAGCAGCCAGCAATTTTTTTACGATCGATAGTTTCAATCTCGCATTATTAAAAGTATCTTATTTAACAAGTGATTATTTTTGTGGATTTCTGGAAATGTTTTCACGTCTTCCTTTGCGCTTTTACCACTTTGGTGTTGGCCCATGATCAGCACCATTAGCAACTCAGCCTGGTCCTTTTTTATAAGCATTTATTTAAGAATGTGCAACCAACTCACAGCCTTGTTACACTCTGAAATGCTATGCAAGTCAATAATATTACCCCGGTGAAACAAACACATCCACAGGGACCTAGAGTGGGTTGATATGACCTACGCATGATAGATGCGCACTGGCCTTTAGTGCTGAAGGCCACGCTGTCGTTGTCGTCGTCGTCGAATTAGTCATTGCCCCCATTTCGACAGATCGACAGCAAAGCATTTCATGTGACCCCTAAAGCAGTCGTCGATCGTAAAATCAGTGGCCTTTAATAAAGACCACCCTAAGTGCAAACACGGTGAGTTGACTGCTGGCCTACGTCCACCCTGAAAATCACTGTCGCAAGCTTAGGGCCTTCGTCAAATTCAAATTGTTAATTTGATTGTAAAACAAAATTATTCCCGAGTACAGACGTACACAACTTTAGTTCATTATTTGTGGGAGCAAAATCTCCCATTTATCATGCCTACAAGACAACTGTTCCGTGAATGTGCAAAACTTGTATTGTTTTTCAACCCTGCATGAAAGTGATACAGCTTTGTTAATTTAGTTCCTTTAATAGAAATTCTTTCACGTTCATCTAATTTGTGAGTGGATAATTATTCAAAGGCATTGGCGATTAAATTCCTTTTAAAAGGAGCTGGAGCGAACCGTCGAAGGATGTGCTTCACAATTACAAAGAATTCGGACTAAACTCAATTCAGTTTGTGAAAAAATCAACACAAATCAGCGGTTAGACGCGATCACAGCATTCGATAAAGTGGAATTCAACCTTAAAGACAGCGCTGAAGCCCTAATGAAGGACCTCGAGCAGACGATTCTCGATGTCATTGAAGCAATTGAAGAAAACGATAAGAAACTCATGGGTTTGGAGAAAACCAGGTAATATGTTGGCCTTCTTTCTCATTAATAAAATATCTACTTAATGTAGAACAAAAAATGGGGATCTGCGATCATAGATCACTCCCTAATGCAACCAGGCAATAATTGAGTTTTACTCTCACCCAAAATTTTAAAACGACTTTTAGTGCCAATTCACTGCTGCGTACCATCTAAAAAGTTACATTTATTGTTAAAAGTTATTTTCTTCATATTTCGATTTGTCAGGCTGTTTCCGTTGTACTTGAAACTCTGACATACGGATAAGGGCTCACTATATTATTCCAGAGTTTTACTTTTACTTGTATAAATAATTTTAGTTTATCAAAGCCAATGACAATACCCGTGACAGTCCAAACTGACCCGATCCTCTTGCAAACTGACGCAAGGATGTTTGGACAATCGTCTACCTCCTTGAAAACGACCACTCTATTAGCGCAGTCGACCTTTCGGGACAGTGTCGAGTCGCTGCGTGACACTCTAACCAACGCAATGCATCACGAACTGAAGACGATTCTTGACCGCACCAAAGACCAAGGCAGCAGACCAAACGCGAATCTTGCTGTCAAAAACACCCAAACACATGTATTCGTAGGTTATGTCTTATCTCAGTCACGCATAAGCATCACCAAAATCCTTAAATGCAACGGCTGCTATGGCTTACTAAGCCTAGTGGCAACTTCCTTTCGATTTAAAATAAGTGGCTTATCTTGTAGAAGAAGACGAAGAAGTCATGCCAGAACCATTTATTTTACGACCTTTCCTTTGTCCTTCTCAGTTAGCGTTAAATCGGTGTGCATTTTGGATTATTGTGAAGTACAAATATTGTTCTTTGTCGTAACCATAGGGTTTACACTTGTTTACTGTTCTTCTCCCGATTTTATTGTCGGGGTATTTCCGAAACTTGATTTTTACGCGCCGCCAAATATCCTATCCTATTTTGATTAAATCATAGCAACCCATTTTTGTCAGAATTGTGTTACGTTCCCTATTTTTGATTTACTCAATCAAAATAACCGCTGCCCTTGCTCTTGAACGTTTAGCTTTGTTAAAATAAGTGGACTTGTTCGACCCTTTTAGCCTAGTAAGAATGCTCAGTGTCAGATATCACTGGACAACCAACTGCCTCTCCTCTCTGGTACAGTTCAACGTCCCCACAGGATATGCAACCGATTTGGAACACCACTTCAATTAAGTGTAGTTCAACCAAGCAAAGTTCAGCGATCAGGTAAATGCCATTTCACGTATGTCGGATCGCCTACATTTCTGCTTAAGAAGGGAAATATGCTTGGATGGTGTTTCGCAGTACAGTTGCTCGGGCATCGCTTTTACGCATGTAATTCCCTGCGTGGATGTTGATTTTGTCTTGACGAGACGATGCATTGACTATGAAAGGGACTGTTCTAGTCTCCTATTTGATCTATTTTTATATATTGGTCTTAAAATTTGCAAATATTATTTAAGCAGTTGAGCAGGCTTAATTGTGCGAAGGATGGTGAATCTAACATCGGTCGAAAAACGTAAAATATGATATGTAATTTAGCTGTATTTTACGGCCACAATATTTTTCTTTTGGGTTTAGGATAATGATTCGTTATATAACTCATTAACTTTATTAGCTAAATTCTCGAAATCCTGACCATTACGCTTATTTCTGCTGAATTACATTTGACTGGCAATTCTAAATGCCCCGCATACTAACCATCTGTAAATTAGCCATGTGCGTAAAACGCTAGCCGTTGAATCTTAGATACTATCTAATTTGCATAGATTACCCAAATGAAAACAAATTTATATTCCAATTAAGCTAAGTTAGTGCCTAATAGCAACAGTCAAAGTGGTTGGTGCAGGGCTACTTTGATCCCAATTACCATGCTCTTGAAGGCTCATGTTTTACCGAAAATTATTACAAAGGTGGGTTAGCCATGTCCATTAACAGTCTCAAAGTGTTCTTCCAATAATTATTTGCAGAATTAAGCCGAGAGCAAAGTAATGGGCTCAAGGTTGTCAGTCGTAGAGGCGTAAGCACGTCGCCTACCGGAGGTCAAATGCAATTCGGTATCAACGAGGCTGCTGGAGAGGCTCTTCTTCAGGATAGTGAGGCAAAAACACGTATCGCTGTCCCATGTAGGGAAAGGGACGAAGTCAATGAGCTATTGAAGTCAACAAAACACGAACTGGAACACTGCAAAGATTTACTCAAGGTAAGCTTATCCTAGTATGGCCTCGAACTTAAAACGGGCTCCAACTTTTCAAACATAGTAACAGCGTCAACACTGAAGTGCCTAGTAAGTTGAATTCACCTCTCTTTAATCGGTAAGTGATAGACCATCTTATCTTCTTGAACAATAAATGAAAGAGCATGTGACGTTTGGCTGCCCGCCTAATCAGAAAATCACGTCACTTTCAGACCACATAGGGATCGAAATTGCACAATGTACAGTGCACTCATACGCGTATACCGTATATCTATATATTTCTAGATGCTAAAGTAAATGCACAGAAGTCTAGATGGTGATTACGACTTTGCTTAATAATTGCTCGTTTCCTTCAGCTACGATAGTATCAGTAAATGACTTTCTTAACATCTAGCGTAATACCTCCTGAATTCTTCAGACCGATATGAGCTGGGCCCAGATCCCATGGTTTAATCAAAATATTGTTCACCACTCAGTTTTAAAGGGTCGTCACATTATATAGGGCTAAGAAAAAATAAGTTCCTTTGTCGTGAGTATGTGCGCTTTTTATATCTGGTGCACTTTGGAGAAAAAAATTTGCATTTTTATTTGTAACTATTTAGATATGCCCACCTAACTTGAATTTCAAGGAACTAATTTTGGAGTTGGTTCTTCATGCTAGTTCACGGTTGCGCTCTTTGTGGGTCCACCAATGTGGCGAAGAGATTTAGGAGGCTGCTTGTGGCCTGTTGCAGTGGTAATGGGTGTGGCCGCTTGCGTCGGGAGGTGCGGTTGTGTGCGCAAGTGGGCGCGCGAGTCAGGATTACTGTGGCAGTGAGTCAGCCGCCCGCCCAATCCTGGTCGCTGTCCTACGCCCCTCCCACCGCGCCTCTGTGTGCCATCACGCGACGGGTTGGCATGATGTCGTATCTTGTACGGTGTTAGAGCGATATGGCCCTTCCTTTCAGTTTCAATAAGAGTAACAATTATTGTAAGGATATCGTTTCGAATGCTTTCCTTGTAAACGGCATATTAATGGGAGGTTTTATTAACTAATTCAGTTTCTTGACTTGATCGGCAATTAAGTCAATTTTTACATTCCCCTACATTCAAAATGTGTGTGGAATATGCAATGAGCGCTTTCAAAAGCACGTTCGAAATCTTTTCTGTTGGATTGTTTCCATTGGGTGGCATTCATCATGGCGACGAGAGATCATTCATGCGACTGCCGGTTCTTAATAATCACGTTATTGCGTGTCGCCTTAGGCAACCACATCATTGCATTGCCTGGGCGGTGCTGCTGAGTCACTTTTCTGCGCAGCAAAAGCATCCTGCTACACGCCCTTCTTGAGGCATCAGGTTCAGAGCAGCCACCAACAGTTGTTCTTCCTCTCCACCGTGATCTTAATGCCTTGAACTGCTTTAACCGTTTCAGATGGGAGTGGCTCTCAGTTAGTTTATTTAATACCCGAAATTTAGCATTTCAAGCTGAAACCTAGTTTTATGAGAGAAATTAATAAAAACGTAATTCTTGCACTTCACTTTCATCACAAACACCTCACTTTAGTTGTCATCAAGGCTACTCAAACTTAAGGTTTTTTGGTTTTAGTTATGACTAAATTTTTGAACTCTACTACAGCCACGTAGACCATCATTTGGAAGGCGATGTTATAGATAGTTCATTCCAGTCATTCCTACTAATTTTCTTAAATAGTAGGTTATCACCGTTGGTTCATATGTCAAAGGCGAACCGTTTAGCAACAAATATACGAAGTGCATGAACCGTTTTTTCTACTTTAAGATGCTCTAAAATCAAAGAATTTCGCTTTACAAATATTAAAACCTCGTTTCGCTGATTGATATGTTCAGTCGCTCGTATTGCTTCGTTTTAAACAAAACTGTTTTTTGCGTCAAGCTGAGCCTACTGCCTAAACTAGTTTATGTGAAACATAAGTCAAACTAATTCAAAAAGTCGGAAAAGTGGTGTACGAATAAAATTTGCATTTCAGGAATACGAAAATCGCAATACTTATTTGGAGAAAGAGAATCGTACTCTGTTACTCCAATTGAGATCTCTTCTTTCCCAAAATCAGGGTGTAGTGACGGAGGCTCTCGAAAATAGTGAATGTCACTATCGCAAACAACTTGCTCTTCGGTAAGGACAACTACACTGTTATTCACTTATATCTTCTATAATTATATTCAAAATGAATTTGCTAACGTTGAGAGATTCTCAGCACATTCTCACACGCTCTATACTAGTCTTGTGCGAGGAAACTTGGTCAGTGGAATTTAGCACATATAATTGCTGTGCATATATAAGAACTTAATTTTTTTGAGCTAACATGCTTTCAATTATCTAAAGTAGATAATCTTTAAATTTGGTGTTCTCTTCAAACCTGTAATATCGACGGAGAACTACATTAGGTCACGGAATATTTTGCTGCGTTTCAGTGGCTTTCAGAAACGCAAGTTGGTAAATAGAGTGTTCCCCCTCGTTCCTCTTCACTTGTAGATTCCAAAATCCTTTGCTTAGTTATTTGGCAGAGTGACAATTTGGGAGCTAGTAAAATACTACAGTCAGTGGTGTACTTAAATGATGCTATTCATTCTGACGTAATTACCTATTAACATCATGAATTCAGCTAAATTTCATTCAGATAAGGTCTTATCAGCGTTTATGGAGTGTTTTGTTCATGCAAAAGTTAGATTGTTGTGAACCCCCTATTTATCTCCGGCGTTGGGGTAAACCACGGCTTTGAGTTAGTCATACTAGTTTAACGCTATTAGTCTTATGCTAGGTATGTCCTTTGATCGAGGGATTCATCCGCTTATGTTGTATGCTTCATAAGCTATCAAAATTTCAAGATCGTGAAGATAGGCCGTGTTTGGAGATTGACGTCTGTGTAGATAGACAATCGGATGATTCGTTTTTCATTGATCACATGTGTTTATTATTTAAACCTGGCAAAGTAGATTATATGTTTGATTAGGTTTGCTCCCACTCCTTAATTTGGCGGATTTTGTGTTAATTTTTTCGTAAATAAGTAATCAAGGGTCTGGAATCAGATATCCTGATTGCTAAAGTTATCAAAGCTACTGCCTAATTGCATTCCTTTGTTGCAGATACACTACTGCTACAGTTGCATTGTTTTAAACCCCTTTCACAAACACAGTGTGAATTATTTTTTGCTAGATCTTTTTACTGTCCCTAATATTGAATTTTGTAAAACTATTGGGTGTGCAAATATCGCATCGTGATGGAAGCTTTAAAAAAATTAAATAGCCTCACTCTCGAAATACCCTGTGATCTGAGGCTATTTTGCTCAATTTCTTTTAGTGATGAGTTGGCGTTAATGAAGCGCCGTAAGGAACGGCTAGAGGAGAAGCTCATCGAACAGTACAAGACGATCCCTTCGCCCAAAAAGTACGACATCTGGTTGACTGTCTGCCCTGGTAATTAGCGTAAGAAGGTCGCACAGACGCCCAGTGGACGTTTGAGAGCACTGTAAATACATCGATGTGTCGTCCAGATTTTAAGTGCGGAGTCAACTCATTTGAATCCATAGTGAAGTAGCCATGCTTGTCATTTTCACCGGTTGGGCTTCAATCACTTTGATGTTTTACGAAACGCTACGCGGCACAGAAAGCTAGGTTCATTTACACAATACCTGCGCAAGAAAATGCTGGGCTTCTACGTCGAGGGTATAATTGTTGTTAACTGGGTGAGGAGCAGATATATGATTTCGGATAAAACTTATGGAGTTGCCACTTTTGTCCTTTTGATTTATTGAAAAAAACAAAAGTGCTTCAGTTGAAGAATGTTAAGATTCCGCTCAAAATACTATAATTACTTTCTGGCTTTACTTCTGCCCAGACATAATAGTAATGCACCTGCAGATGCAGTGAATTTTAAACATTTCGTTTGGGTAAACTTGAGGGGCTCCTCAATTTTCATGGCCACACCCGTGCAGCGGTGTTGGCCCACCTTTATATCACGCTGCCTTTTTGAGGAGGAAATTTGGGTCACTTCTGAGATCGGGCTGCGCACTTCGCCGCAGGTGTACGCCTGTTTTATCGACTAGGCGGTTTGATGTGTCCGGTCTTTTCGAAAAATGCTTGTGTGAGTACAGGATTCACACTCTGCAGACGTTGAATTGCCCCGTCAAGTTCCCTTCCAAAGCTGGCTTCTCCCGTTTATTGAGATGGGCTCTCACCGTCAATCTGTGCATGGATTGAGTTGAGATTGCCAAATGAATTTGCTCTCTCTATTTGGGCTTTGAATAGTTGACCTCAAAAGAAGTTTTGCCCTAGTATGACTCAAAGATGTAATTGTAAATGAATTTTAATTTTACTTTTCGATAACTGCGAAGTACAAGTCAGTTGCGGAATAATTCGAAGACGTTTCTAGCACATTGGTTGCACCTTTTGTCCTAATACACTCTTTATTTCTGCAGAGCTAAACCAACCATCAGTTTCCTACAGAAGGCTCGTGATGCTCTTTTGAAAGTATGTTTGTATTCCTTATGCGTTTGAATTTAATCTTAGCTCGCCATTTAAATATCATGTATATTAGAAATTGTACTTTTTCTTACCACAACGATTCTCCGACGCACAGTCGAGTGCGGTATGACAGATGCACCTACGACATAGAAAGAAGTGAGCTTTGCAAAACTTCCCGTAGATAATTTTATTTACAGGTGCATTATTCTTGCATACCTATAATTGCACTTTTAAATTTACTTTTTCCTTTACAATTTTAGAATAAAGACGTCTACACCCTCGATAATAGTTGCCTCCCACCTGCCGATAATTATGAACAAGGTAAACTGATTGAAGAAACAACTCTGTGTACGGAAGTGCAGTGAATAGGCTTGCATGTATAAATACTCTACTATGCAGAAGAGCTTGTAACATCTTGCATCACGAAATGAGGCCATTTTGCCAGATACTTTTGTTTCAATCCTTCATTCAACGCGACTATATTGATACTATAATGGCTCTGACTGCTGACTGGAAACGTGACTGAAAAGTCAGTGAGTAAAGCATAAAATGTAATGGAAAGACTTGATGTACGCCCACTGAGTGTCTGTGCCTTCTTTCAGTGTGGATGAAATTGCTACAAAAAAAGATATACTTGGATCTTTCACCACCCTTATCTTTATACGGTGCTCCTAATGCATTGGATTGCTTAGGAAGAAAACAGCATAAAGGGACTTGTAATTCGAAAGATTCCCTATAAAATATGTAGTTTCGGACCGGCGTGTCCCAATGCCTTTTAAAGGTCGTCGAAAGAAATAAAAAGCGTCTGACGTACTCCTTTAAACCATGATTATCATTGAGTTTTCCCTGGGTTTTGTCGATTCTAGGCATCAAACAAATTTTGCCTTCTTCCAACCTGCGATGTGACGGATCGGAAGATGACGATGAGTATCTTAGAGACTTCCGGAAGTTTATAGGCAATTTGGAAAGGCCGAAGTTAAGCCCACATTCTGTAAGCCGTTTTGACATTTTTACTATAAAAAAGTAAGTAGATACCATTCTATCCTACATCTAATTTTTAAATTTTTTGAAAACGAAGGATGACAGTCGAGAGGCGCTAACAGATTCCAAACCTCCATGGAGTTATGCATTGGGGAGTTTAACGTCAATTTCCAGGAGGTGTTTTTCGGAATATCAGTCTCGAAGTATGCCAAACGGCTCTAGCACAGATTCTGAGCACACAGGTGACGCCGAGAATTTGCAGGCAATTCACAAACGGAATGCCAAACATTATTAATTCGATATAATAATTTTAGACAACTCGGTGGCGTCGTTGATTTTAAAATCTTCTCCACACTTTCCCGTTACTGATAGATCTGAAGATCGTAAGTTACTTTGCCATTCAGCATTATTGTTCGGCGGCAGCATTAAAATATACACACCCATGTTATTTAAATCATCTCTCAAAGGTAAGTTAACTGTATGCATAATAACCCTAAGTTGCTAAAGTAAATGTGGAAGCACTTTTATTTGCATAATGACTTCTAACATTTTCTTTTTACAGCAAATGTTGCCTTGTATTTTAGGCATAGAGGCATATTCAGTCAGCTCAATCGTGCCACCACCTAAAAAGGCTTTCATGAGCAAAACTAATTCTCTGTCATTCTTTCCCACACAAAGTGCGAAAATGGCAGACATACGGTTCCCGCGAGATACAAACCCCAAGAAAGCACAGTAAGTTAAGCCACTTAAGTCACTTCGGATTAAGCGATGAGAAGTGTAAAGTTCAGCAGTCAGAAGAAGTATTCTGCCCTTCGGTTTGAGTCCAAAGGTCTAATGTGAAAGGCTTCGGACATACAGTTGACTGAAGAATCGAATAAGTTTGTGCCATCTTGCACTGCCACCTTTCTTGTTGTGGTGACTTTCGGAACAGCAGTGGACAATGTTAAAAATGATTTTTAAAATTTGTGTTGAGAAATAACAGTGTATCACCAATAGTTTGCATTTTCGAAGGTTTTTGATGTACTGAATCGATTAACGTAAACGCGAATGCTTTAACGTCTGAAGCCACTACAACCTTAGGTGCATTCTTTTGCTGAAAGCCTCTATGTTGTCATCTTCTGCACTGTTTGTTCTACCAGGCAGGTGAATTAAGATACGATATTGATCGAATTACAAGACCACGTTCAAGAGGTTCCCCACTCTACTACCAATTTGTTGCTTCGGTTACTGCAGTAAACATTCGGAAGGGATAGGCCAAAAAGGATAACGATGAGGTTTTGATTAGACAAGGGCAAAGAACGGGATCAAGGACGCTGAAACTTAGAATGGGGACTAGGAATTTATGAACTGGCACGTAAACTCTCAAGTCTACGATGTTTCTCTAAGCGGTGACTTTACTATGGCTTCTATGGGACAGACTGTTTATGTATTAACATGTCTTTTACTACTTATAGGTCAATGTGTACACATAGGCGTAGGGTGGCTTATGCCAATGAGAACTCAACAGCACCCTCTCTGGGTGGTCTAATTGGTCGAAGAAGAATCTCGGTTGCTGACCCAGATTACTTGAATCCCATCACCTCTTTTTCGCAAGATCTCGGTGGTATCTTGGTCCAAGGCCATCGAGAGTCATCCGAGACTGCCTCAAATGACAAAATGTCCCCCACGGCACCGGCACACACCGTGGAAAGCGCCGACTGTCTGGCCAAACCAGTGGTTTTTTTGGAGTATGGTGATATATGATTGTCGTACTAGTGTGCATAACACCAATATTCCTGATAGATTTATGTACATTCTTTTCATGAGTTACTGATTTCACGTCATCAATTTCGACCATATTGTTCTACTCAGTATTTCGATGAAAGTGGTTCCACTAGACCGTAAAAAAATGAACGCGTGTTTTCAATGCACATTGGATTTAACATGATGCCACGTTTAAAACATTTTGATGTTAAACTTGAATAGTTTTGTAAAAGCCTGCTCTGTTGCAGCTTAGACATGGTGGGTGCCAAAGAGGATATGTTGGATTTCAAATAGCATAATCGGGTTTTATTTATTAAATAAATTTCTAATGGCATATCTCATGACAGGAAGTGTTTGATGAATGATTATTAGGATATTAGAAAGTGGTAGTTAAAGGCTGATTTTCAATTCGGGGTTCTTTTAGTATGAATAGATTATGAATATTCGCTACCAAACTCACCAATTGCAAATCAAAGTCAAAGGACATTCACAAACCCCCAGACATTGCAAAAATTTTGACGGCATAATAAGAAGTCACATGAGTATCTAGAGGCTGATAGCTATTACGAGGTTCGCCAAAAAACATGAATAACTAGGGTCGACTATCACTAATTACTAAAGGCTTAAAGGTAATTAATGAGAGATTTGGGAGGTGGGAGAAGCGTCTACTTGCCGAAATAAACAGGTGGTTTCTTAGATCATCCACAATAATCCCAACTTTTTCGCTACCACCATTACAAACCCTCTTATTCTGCACTACCCAACAAATGCACCCGATTGTGGCACTTTGGTGCCACTGGACGTCATGTTGAAAAAAATACTTAATGAGAGGAAGAACTGTCAGCTGGCCTCGTTTGGGATTTTCGCCAGCGGTTTGTGGCCGTTTGCATAGTGTGTTTGGCAAGCTGTATTGCAGTCTCGCGTGCATGCGGTCCGCACAAAACACGATGACTGCGCCCAATTTACGACTACTGATGAAGTGGCACGCATTGCAGTTCAAAAGCGAATTACATGATTCAGCTCAGCATTAACATACCTATTGTCAAATTGCATCAGTAGCGCTTATAAGTTCTCAAGTATGTGCAAATCTATTCGGGCATTCCTATTTTCAACTCTTAAGGGCTTTAGAAAAGCTTCGAGTCTGATTTTTTGGGGGAAAACATAACCATACATAACCTTTGTTAAGCAACAACTGGGGGTTTGTCTGTTAGCATGAATCCACAGGAGGATCTTTTTGTAAATAATTTGCAAATATCTGCTAAAGGTAGGTTATGGTAAAATTTAAAAATTGAGTAAACAGGTTTATAAATGTCTTGCCCACGTGCTTCTATTTATTGATGTGTGAACAAGAAATACCATAAAAATTTGAAAAGTAGAACGATTCGGTAAATGTAAATTGAAATGGGCATGTTTGGACTTGTTGAACCACACTGCCATGATGATAGTAAACAAACGTCAAATATCACAAATGTCAGAAATCAGAGCACCAACTCTACTCATTATATGTCCAAAGGTACGTTCATAACATTTGACTTTCGATTGAATGACATTTTTAGATTGGCAATAAAAATGACAGCTTTTGTAATTTGCACCGACATGCGGTAAATTTGTTTCCTTATGCTTAAACCGTGGCTTATCTTTTTTAATATTTCATAATGGAGGAATTAAATGTTATGCCGCAAGTTAGAGGGATAAACAGTATTTACTCATTTGAAGCTGCAAGCATACCCGATTTAGACAATAAATTCACGACAACAAGTGTATTTAACTTTCTATCACAATAAAATCACTCGTGACGTAAAAAGAATCAGCCATTTTTCAGCGAAATGGCTATTTTAAATGCAATTCTAGAGGTGGTAAAATTGAGGTCTGCGCTTGATTCAAAATTGATGTGTAAAACGCTGCGGATCCCGGGAGTGACAATTTACGGTAATTAATAAGTGCCACACCACGGTTTAATTGTATGCATGGTCAGCATTAACAATAATGAAGCATTTGAACCACCGAAGAAATATAATGCTCACATCCTGGCAGTAAGTCAGCAAGTCCATTTACTATAGGCTGTCAAGGAAATACCGAGCTCAATTATTTATATTGCTGCTCACCTATTCCTTCTCCTTGAGGAGCCACGTTTGTTCGCATTTTCAGGGTATTATCAGCCGGGCTCTTTCAGCACTACCATAAACTTCATTGATTTGAAAGGTAGACATAAGAAACTTTTTTGGAAACCACGGGCTATTCGTACACATAAGCGGAGGGATTACTGTACATATTTTGTGCTGACATTTACATCTTGGCGTGGAGTTGTTGATGAAGTCTGGCTTTATGCTTCCACGTAAACAATTTCCGGTGTGCGTGAGCGTGCATTAGTTGCGGGGTTTATTCAAGGGTGCGAAAAGAGTCAGTTTATCTCCACGGCCTATGACACCTCTACAACCATGTAACTAGATCTGATAGGTGTCGAATTTACTGTCATATTTCACAGTTTCTATTAGTATTTGTTACGAATTGAATGCAATTTTTTCATTTATTCATGCCACAAATGGATTCAGTGAATCATATAAACCGGTGCATGAGAAATAGACGTATGAAAGTGCGGCTTATATTTCGCTGATAGCGTGCTAATTTCGACTGGTAGGGTGGTAGAGACTGAAATCACTACTTAGGCATTAATAGGCGGATAAACATTGGACAGAGCGCGACATTTATCTCCGTGTCCAATCCACTTGGGCACTTTTCAAGAAATTAAAGCTGACTTAGCAATAACTGCTTGCTTTTGCTGTAAGCACTTCTCGTTGTAAAATATTTAAAAATGTTGCTCATTAATGTGTTTTTTCTTTAAGACTTGATTTTTTCTTTATGAGAAATTCTTACGAAATAGAATTTATCATTTTATATAAATGTGGATTGGAGTTTATCACGCATCTTCGTTCACTTACTCAAAAAAAAACCAGGCTACGCTGAACCTTTCACATATTGCTCCACCTTCATTTGCATGGCACTTCATGTCTGACAGAAAAAAAGTGGAATGCGGTGGAAAATTTTTTACCCATTTGCAAAACCCCACCATACGTTTGTCACGATTATTATTAATAAGCTTTGTAAATCATGTAATATAACGATGCAACAATACTACAAGACGCTTCGGTTGGACTGCTCTCATTCATGGTTGTCTCTCTGTATGACTTTAGCTAACTATGTACGAACCTATTTAAGGATCAAACTCCTAATCACTAATGGCGTATCAAAAGATAGTCTCGTAATACGATTTTACCAATGCAGTACCCAATTCTTTCCACCGGTGATTAGTTAAGTTTGCAAATGATTGAAACGATAGCTCAGAACGATAACCCAAAGTTGGCAACTTTAGCTAAAGAGATAGGTCTTGTGGAGCCACTTCTAAAAATACCGATAAATAATTGTTAGGAACTACCGTAAATATATTCCTGATCAGCATATCCAATAATGCGGCTCTAAACAGTTAAATTGATTCCCCAATCTTTCGGAAAACCATGTGGTTCATGGTGTACGAGGAGTATGAAGACGGTGTTACCTTCTTGAAGATTAAAATAAGAATTCGAAATATTGTTCTGCCATTACTTGAAGCAGGCAAAATATTAGATACTATGAGAGAGGGAGGGAGAATGCATACTTCATTAAAAAGATGATCCATGCTTTGCTTCGGACATTTTCGTAAGTAAATTTATAAGCACGAGAATACTTTTAGTAACAAAAAGCAAATCTGCCACCAATTGCTGTTTAATGGAAGTACTGGAGGAAGTAAAAGCAATGTGCCTTTACTTCTTTAACCTAGTTTTCTTAAAAGTTTGGGTGAGCTGTGAGTAGTGAACAATTCGAAAACCTGTTAGTACAACGGTAAATTATTTCTAATCGCCTCTATCTAAAGTACTTTAAGCTTGAGTTTGGCATCGCACACTTATAATAAAATGGAGAGATGCATTCGGTACTTTTCTATGGTGCAAATGAAGTCGGTGAAGTTGAGAGTGAGAAAGCGGGAAGTGTACGTGCGCCGCGAAAGAAAGCGAGCAAATAGTAGGTACGAATCACTGACACATTGCCGCCGCGATGATTGGCTGACCGCATGTCCGATACAGGTGTAAATTTACAGCATGATGATTGGCTCTTGCGGTCATTGTGCATTCGCGTGTGTGCACTTACGAGTTGGTGCAAACTTGGCACAAACGGAGTAAACGCATGCTTATGCTAAGTGTCTCCAATTGACCCCTCATTTTCACTTCACATCACTTACAACAACTGACGTCGATGCAGGGAATAGCCGCATTGTCGAAATAATATTTCCTCGAATAACAACCACGAAACATCATTGCTCTTTGGAAGATTGTAGAGGTGAGTTAGTTTATCACTTTGTTATTTTGTTAAGGCGGCACTGTCGGAGAAATAAATGCCAAACGTCCCGCATCCAATTTACATACATTTAAATAATGCATCAATACGTGAAATTACTACTTCTTAAAACCTATCATTTACTGCCGACTTTACAGTGAGGTCATGGACACCTAGCATTTAACATAGACCATCGTGTGGTTATCATCCAGCATGCATTTATAGAAGCGATATGGTGGGTAACTTCAGATTATGCAAAAATCCAATAAGGTTTTTACACTAACTTAAAGTTGTGCAAAAAGCACTAGCTACAACTTCCAACTTTAATTCCGGCGCCTAGCTGATGTGGGATTAAAACCCCTAGTGTATCATTGTTGGAAGCCCACACTGGGAAAAACCTGTTGGCTATTTTATAAAATCTTAACATTATTTTATTTAAGTATATGAATTTGAGACACTCCAAAAGGAACTGTTCTTCTAATTTCCAATTTCATAGACTGTTCATTGACAGATTAAAATATTCAAATTTAGACTCCTGGAAGCCATTAAGGCCTTTCACTCAAAGTCGTTATGGTCGACCTCATTTAAACATTGTGACTCACATTTTGTACTAGAACCAGAGCAATAAAAAAGAAACGTGCAACGTTTTCCGTGAACTTCCTTTTTTGTTGATTCATCAATGTATCATCAATGTCGAACAGTTGTGCATTTCCGGTAACACACCTAAATTCGCATTTCAACATGCGTTCAAGTAGATGCGGGGTGTGCATTTTGTGTAAATGAAGCAAAAATACTGCCTTATTTAAGTGTGGCTAAATTTTTTGAACACTACCCTTGGCACGCATTTAGTGAGACTAGCGTGAATGGTAAGCCTTGGAATTTGATGCCTTAAATAATTTGCCACTTGATTATGTAGAGATTTCAAGGACTAGAGGTTGTCTGCTGATAACCAGGTTACCCGCCACAGGAGATCCTAAGTGTTTACATCCAAAGCAATAATTTTTGTTGCATTCCCACATAACTTTGGGGTTTTGGGGCTAAATTCATTAAATTTATTTTTACGTTAACAGGTCAGCAACTTAAGTGGGATTAAATGGTTCACAATGTTTATGATTTCGACAAATATGAACAATTGATGCGACCTAATATCCATTATAATTCAATCGCAGAGACAGTAGCATTCGAAGTTTGTTATTATCAAGTATAAGTTCAACTGTGTTTTACCTGAATGACCTGCAAAAACAGCCAGAAACATTGTAAATAATAGCAACTCCGATGTAAAATGTTAGCAATATCCTAGGTTCTACAAATGACTTTAAAATGTATACTAATAAACACCTTTTCACGGTCTTTGCCCCAGATGCACGTATGAGTGGTTCAATTATACCTTACTGTTTAGGAGGGAATGAAATATCTAAAGGCAAATTAAAATCCAGTTATAGAATATTATGTACGCCTGTTCTTGAACCGCAGAACCCCAATGTCTAGGCAAAGTAAAACAACTATTAAAAGGACTTAACAAATAAGCTTTTAAATCGGAATTTGAAATCAATGTAAATTTTTCATGATAATGAATAAATATTTCGTCCAAATTTAGTTCTTTTTAATTGAATGTCTTCCCTTACAGATGAATTTGATGGTAGTCTTAGCCCTACTCACAAGCATAAGTTGGAGTTCGTCAAACGCCTATGCGTTTACTGACTCGCATTCGCAAATGTTTCATATCATTGAAGAGTCTTCAAATGGGACCGAAATTGGAGGAGTCTCTGAATATCTACACAACGCCGTTGGAATGGGCTTTCAGGCGACCTATCAACTCCTCGATTCCCACGAAATGCTAACTCGACTGCTGAAAATTGAACCTCAAACAGGCCGTCTTTTTGTTGATGGTCGGGTAGACAGAGAGGCCCTCTGTCCCCAGTCCTCCGGAATCTCCCTGACGTACCTAGATCTGGAAGGCTCTTGTATAAAGCAAATCAACATACTAGCTACAGCACAGGTTGAAAATAACCGGGAAGTATCTGTTCAAACAATTCCAATTAAGCTCGTGATTCAGGATGTCAACGATAATACGCCATCTTGGAATTCGGCGGGAAAACAACTCGACGCTTTGCCCATTCTGGAAACAAACATTCTCGAACAAGGTTCAGGGAATAAGGTCCTTGTTCCAGCCGCCTACGATCCCGATTCCGGTCGAAACGGAGAGATTTCTTACCGTTTAGAAAACTATAGAAGTCCCTTGAGTGAAGACTCAAGTGAGCGTGACCAGGGCCCAGCCCCTTTTACAATAAGTGGTCTAGTTAATGGAATGCTACAATTGACTCCTTTTCAGCCAATTGACTACGAAAAACAAAACGTCTACGACCTCCTCTTGATTGCTTCAGATGCGGGTGAACCGCCAAATGTGGGAAGAGCACATTTACGGGTTAATGTAATTGATGTTAACGACGAGGCGCCAGTTTTCACTCAGCAGATTTTTACTTTACCTAGCGGCCAAGGCATTTCAGAACGAACGCATCCGGGAAAGGTCATTCTCAATGTCACTGCGGTTGACGGAGATGCCTCAGAACGTAACTCGCGCCTTACATATTCGATGGTTCCAAGCTCAAATCGGCTGATCGGGGAGATCTTTTCAGTACATCCAGATGGTCGAATAATTTTGCGACATTGGCTAGACTATGAAACTTTGGACTCGGGACACATGGCCAGTTCTACTTCCGCGCTTCGTGAGGCTCCGCCTACAGAAGGAAAACAGTTTGCATTTTTTGTAAAAGCCACGGATTCGGCTCCACCGCCTTATGAAAAAACTGGTACCGCCCTGGTTGTTATTCCAATCATTGATGAAAACGACGAGAGGCCGATCATCACTTCGCGCTTTTTGGGGTCACCTGAGCTTGTTAAGCACGGCGAAGCAGGTATACTTCATAACTTTGCCTTGTTATTGGATTCCTCCAATTAGAGAAAAAAGAGAATGTGAATTCCTGTAAAATTGTCGTTTGTCTGAGAGTCTTGGGCATAAAACCAGAATGACCTAGACTCTTTTTTACATTTTTTGCACCTTTTTATTTGGGTTAACTAAAGCACCTATATTTTGGACTGTAGCACTGTTAAATGATTAGCAATGTTAGGTAGGGCTCATACGTGATCTTCACTGTCATCAATAGTACATTTTTGACCCAAATTAGTGCATTAACGGCAATTATCGAAATGCTAAAAGGTCTGTTTCATTGTGGAAGCGTACCTGAGGTGCTTCATATCCATCTATTCATAAGTGCTGTCGTAAGTTTTGATGGGAGAACGATCTTTAATGATCGGACTCCTAAGAATAAGATCAATTTAATTTAATAATCAAGTGGAATTGTTATTTGGGCAAGTGTGATATGCCAACTGATTTCGAGCCATAAAGAAAGAAAAATTAATAGAGTTTGAAGTAATTTTGAATAAATTCAAATGTGTATACTATACACTTTTCATATGATGTGGCATGAAGGTTTATGCTAAAACGACTGCCAGGGTCTCATTGTTACGGAAATAACTTTACATAAATCGTTAGTTTAAAAATAACGATGAAGGCTTGGTGGTAGTGCTTCTAGCCTCAATAAGGCTGCCGAAAGTGAGGTACTGACCAAATCGTGCTGTTATTTCTGCCTAAATAATCTATGTTAGGGTTGATTTTAACCGAACCTTGGAAGTTTTCTATTGAAAAGGCTATATCGTACCTTTTATAGCTATTTTCTATGTGTTATGGAATCTCAAATACATGGGCAGGTTTTCTAAAAAAGGTAATCTTGCTGTAATGAATTGCAGCAGAATTTTAGACTCATTCCACATCGGTTCAATCAAGAAGTACAACCGTAGTTTACATGCTAATCACTAACTAATCAAAGGTGATTTGATGTGTTTATACTTCCCATTCGTGAATCTCAGATGCTATGGTTTTAAAACTCGATTAAAACTGTGATCTATTAAGTATAACAGAGCAAACGATCTAAACCACGAGCCTTTAAGTATGTAGATAGGTATCCTTTGCAATGATCGTATCGAATTACATTAGAGTAAGTGTTTTTTAATAATTGAAAAACAATACTTCGAATATTATAAAACGTGAGCGCGTATCCCTTTAGGCGTGAAATCATTCAGTGATGCTAGTCACAAACTTAGACTTAAAAGTAAATTATTGCAATAAGGAGGACTGCTTGATCCCGTCTCCCGACTCTCGCCAGCCTCTCTTAGATGAGAGTAAACGTTACAAGAAACAAGTTGAATTGCATTCAAAATACAATCGGTGTTTCATAAGGGTTATCTTCTAAAACTGTAATTCAAGCGAATGCTAAACATCTGTAAAAATAAGATTCCAGCATACAATTAGACGCTGGTGATATGCAAAACTGGAAGTATCTGAGTCTTTTAGAGTTTTTGATTCACATATTTTAACTTTCGGATACAAAGTCCACATCGTTAAATTGAATTGAATTGAGAGGAAATCTGTCATTTTGTCGAATTAAAATAAATCTGAATTATTAGGGTTTGCAGACCAAAAGTTTTATTTCTCTTGCAAACGTCACAAATCGAGATAAAGGTCAAATCTTTACGGTAAGGTGCCAGCTAAAAAGTTGAACGTCACATCCCTATAATGCTCTTCACCCCTATGCGAAATGAGCAAGAAATAAAGAAATTGAATGTTATTGTTTGCAACACTCTCCTTCATTTTAAAGAACTGCAAAAGAGAATTACTTTAAAAGGCAAAGTTGTATTTTAGCAGATCTGTAAATAAGGATAAGCAAAATTTGTGCCGTATCACCTATAAGAAAAGTAAGTGCATGTCCTATCTTCCTATATTCCACGTTTGGCTTTAAATATGACAGAGGATTGCCAGATTTGTTCGACTGTCAAAAGGTTTGAATTTTTAAAGATGGAAGACAGTGCACAATTTCTTGCAGTTTATTTATTGCTGAAAGGCACAAATATTGGCAATATTTTCCTTTTTTATGCTGGGTGCATGATCAAAGGCAGTGAAGAGGTCTATGTGAATGACTTAAAGTACCATGTGTAGAAACTCCAAAGGTAAATCTCCATGCTTTTGCATTATATGATAAATTTTCAAACACTTTAGGTGAAAACGGTTTTGTTACTGCAAGTTCTACGCAAAGTCTCTCGATTGCTAAGTAAACAGCCAAAAACGGTTGCTAGATTTAAAATCATCATTTTCATAACGCATACGTGCGTTAAAATCAGGATTTTCATTCATTTAGAAGTAACACCGAATCGTACAGCTCTGTGTAGTTTTTGCATTGTTTTGCTACAACTTATAAGGTCTAGAAAGAATATTGGCTTTTGAAAATTACTTCGTGCTGCATTAAGCGCTTTGTACTAATCTTTTGAGCAAGCCAAGCAGCGATTTTGATGTTCGGCTCTCGAGGTTTTTTCTTTGCCTTGCATTTTCAGGTGTAATTACAGAGAATTCATCAGTACCAGTTCGACTTGCCTACATTCAAGCTCGCGATCCTGATTTTGAAGGTCAAGATCGTGTTGAGTGCACTGTTCCAGATAACGAGAACCTCTCCCTTAAGCGCATTACACCACTTACCCACCGCTCGTCCACTGGCAATGTGAATGTGGCACCAAACATTAACGACTTCCTTCTCAGTCTCGAGGAGCCTATTGACAGGGAAACCACCAAAGTGCTCCAGGTACGGATCCACTGTGTAGACGAAGCCAACAACACAGCAGATTTGCTGATCAATATTCGTGTACTAGATGTCAATGACGAGGCTCCCAGCTTCCTTCGGCCTGTCTTCTACTTTTCTGTCAATGAAAATACTAAAGTTCCTTCAACTGGAAGTGACGCAAATGGGACGTTGCAGGGTTATAGAATCGGGCGTGTGATTGCCTACGACAAAGATGAAGGTGACAATGCAAAAATTATATATAGTCTTCTGCCCTCTATTGAAATTGAGGAGCCAAAGTTGCGACCAAGCCTCTTTCCTTTAAGTGATTATGGCCAAGGGATTGTTCCAGCCCAGGCCTCCGATCTATTTCGTATCGATTCAATCACTGGAGAGTTGTTTGCGTTAAGGTCTTTTGACGCAGAAAAGGAAAAACTAATAAAACTGAAGGTAATTGCAGTAGATCAGCCATCTGATCCTACCGCAACATCACACACGGGCACCGCCAGTGTCTACGTGCAGATATTTGACATGAACGACTGGTCACCAGTATTCCATCAAGTTTTGGATAACGTTAAGACCAACCAGCAACTATATGCACCCAGCATTCTCGATGAGCCAACAACAGTCGATTCCTATCAGTTTTCAATAAAAGAGAATCTTCCAGCTCACACACTCGTTGGTCGCATCAGCGCCATCGATCCTGATGTGAGTTTTTGGGGTGTTATTGGCTCCATCAACAATAGTAATGGAGCAGACGGTTCGCGGGCGCTGCGAGATGTAAATATTCAATTTGCACAGGGCACCGCTCCCTACGTGGAAAATGCTTTTACCATTCACTCAGCATCCGGACAGCTGAGAACTACGGGACCTCTGGATAGGGAAGCTCATGCAAATTACACCTTTAGTGTGATTGCTGTCGACAGGGGTCCAGCCGATGGGGTTTCCAGAACATCAACTGCCGGTGTTACCGTTCTAGTTGAGGTAAGGTTTTTTTGCATCACTTATTGAATGTCATGCAAGGGCAGGTGCGTCAGTCCCTGATAGAAACCACTGTAAATGCTTCCCCATAATAAGCCGCATTAATTACATTCGTTTAGTAAATAGTGAAAAGTGAAAACTCTGCGAATGTAACGAGAGCTTTCAACGGAGAAAGGAGGGTTTAAAATACTTCCACATACGGCCGCATGCCAAATCATAGTAATGTTGTGGTTGCGAACCCTATTGAATGCATTGTTACGTAAGCTGTAAGGCATGGGTAGTTGCACACATACGATGGAACGAGCACGGCAGGATACTGTACAGGTATTGGGGCCGAGGGAGGCCTGGTTACCTACACCACTACCACATGCACGGAGGTACCTGGCGTCTTTGAATCCACGTGTGTGTGCCCTAGCACATAGCTTGGGTAGAGAACAGGAGCACCGTGCAATCTGGCGCGCCCCATGAGGACGGTATCTGGTACTTTGCAACCGTCTCTGATTCACCAAGGCAATCATCCCAATTGCGGGCGTAGAGCTGGGTCTCTATTCTTTCTTCTAATAAAACTGCTTGCAAGAGATTAAAAGATCCCAATTTTATTTGAAGTGATAATTGATGGTGTGCAATAGATATAATAAGCGCCTCATTCTAATCTCGATAGCATATCGTTTGAGGTAACTTTCGTGCGACTGTGACATTCTTCACGTGTATCACCACTAGGTTAGTGATTGCCGGGGACTGATCATGAGGAAACTTAGCTTATCCACAGTATTAATAAGTAATAAGGGAACATTAAGGGTTAATACAACTAAGGAACACTAAACCAACCTTTTGCTGCAACAAATTTAGCAATACTTTATAGTACTTTGAAATCAGTACTTTATTCTCAATTAGAGGCATTTAAAAATTGGAAGCACTTTTTGGATCAGTCAAAAAGACTCGTCAAATGTTATTCTTAAAATACCGGTTTCCTAAAAAATTAAGATCTCTGATGCACGCTAAACCAAACATTATATCCTAACCCTGTACACTTGCTCATATGTTATTTTACACCCACCTACCGAGGCATTGGTGTCCCCATGAAATCGATGAACATAATTTGAATTTCATTCCTTAAGCAGGTCACCCCATTGCCTAAATAACTTAAAGTTAAGTAAGCATAAATAAATAAGACAACTCCATCATTTGCCTTAACTAATTCATCCACACCGAGTTCTGATTTCGAATACGCTCTTAGACAAATCCAGCACTATGACCGGTAGATGTCACAAAGATTAAAGCAAGAGTCATTGCTTCAGTTCTGGGTGCAAGTAACAAAGTCAAATTGAGTTTTTTGTCGATTTTTAAGACGATAATAATAATGGTTGATTAAAGGTTTTTGTGGGAAATTCCCATTCACTTAGGCATAATGTATTATTGCTGTTCAGATATATCGTTGATGTGCCCAAATTAGAGACAGTAACCAACTCCTATGTAGTCGCAATTCTTACGAACGCTGTATGTGAACTTATTTGGGATGTAATGGGCGCTTGGTTTCGATCGAAAACACTTTGGTAAAAGTGGCTGCACCACAAGTAACAAGCGAACTAATGTTGCAAGGCTGGCTTTCGATGCTGCTATGGAGCCTCATCGGCAAAAATAGTGAGAATATTGGTTGTTCAATAGCAATGCCACTATAGTTATGCAAATACACTTGCGCTAGTTATCTGAATTCGAAATTCATCTTTGCAGTTTTTTGAACAAGCAATGTTTTGCCCCGAAGTTTGAAGGTTATTAGATTAGTTCATTAAATGCATAATCATTCTTGATAGAACATTGTTTATTGTTGGAATGCATTCAATAAATCGAGGCGCAAGAGATGTCTTGCTGTTTTAGGACGAGAACGACAACGACCCAGTGTTCATCAGACCACCAGCCGAGATGACGGACACTAAGGGGCCGGATGAATCCTACTTCGAGAAAGAGGCGTTCTCATCGCTCCCTCAGCCTGTCGACTCTCCCTCCGCCTCCGCCACTGACACTGATCGCATTCCCGTTGTGGCTGTCAGTCTGCCTGTCAGCAGTGGCTCTATCGATGTCAATTGTAATTGTTCTTGTTATTTAATCATTTGCGAAACAAAGTTAATAATAGATTATCAAATGACAAGAAAGTGGTGAATGAATTCTTAGGATGCTCGAAGTCATCTACACAAATGCTTCACCCACACTAAAAGCATAAAAGGTATCCCAGGTGATTGTATCTTGAAGCTTAATGAATATTTCACTATTTTACGGAATTCCGAGCAATATGCTCGATCTCCTTCCATTATTTTAACTAAATTTTACGACCCACTCACTTTAAACTTGTTTTTTTTTAAAAAAAACGTTATAAGTTTTTTGGACAAATACTCGTAATTGATCACCTTGATTAGAGCTTGTGTTTTAACAAAAACCTGGCGATTATAATTCAGTAAAGATTTCTTTATCCTTTAAAAACAATTTTCAATCGCGTCTATCAGTCAAGCCAAGGCGCTACTTTATGAAGCGTTCGAGTGAGAAATTTACTTTAATGCCAAACAGGTATGATTTTGCATTGCTATATACCTATACATAAACTTTTAAATTAAGAAAGATTGTCTGGGGTTAAATGCTGTTTACAGCTTTAAATTCTGTTAAAAATGGCTCTTGAACTGGTTTTAGAGACAGAATGAACGTATCCACGCCTTATTCATTTTTAGCAATTGACTAACCGCAATGTAAGTCCCCGCAAGTATTACATAAACTACCATGGCTGCTAATTGCGTAGAGCGGTTAGCGAGATACATTTAATCAGTGAGGCCTTACTAAGCATTCGTTGAATGGTGAATTTAGCGATGATATTTGATGAACATCTGAAGTGCTTAATGCCTACTTAATGGGAAATAGTTTCTCTGAATTCAAAACAAATGCAACTATTAGCATGACAATGAATGCAAATCTAACTCACATTTTACCACCTCTCAGCCAATTCAATTGCTCGTCCCCTAATTCGCATCGAAGCACAAGATCCCGATGCCGGTGTCAATGGTCAAATACGCTATGCTATCACCTCAGGCAACACTGATGAAATTTTTTACCTCGATCCAACCACCGGCTCCCTCGTACTTAAAACTGTCCATCCAGCCACAAAGGAAGCCTCTAGTTACCTTCTTCAATTTGAAGCTTGTGATCAAGGATCTCCTTCTCGTTGTGCAAGTCCTGCCCGCTTACGCCTAGTCCTGGGCAGACCTGCTGCAAGCAAATCGGGGACATCTGGAGGAATTGTTTACCCTGCAACCCAGGACACCAATCTCTACTCACCATCGAACCGCTTCCCCGGTAATTCTTTGCCGTCGGTTGGAGGAAATGCTGTCGGATACCCTGAAGTTTGGGACAGCAAGATTTATGGTAACGTCGGCACCGAATGGACCTCAACGCGATTCAAATGGGAAGATAAGCATCGACATTTGCGAGAGGAATACGAAAAGTCCGGTGTGTCTTACCGAAGAAGTGGTGTGACAGTTAGTGAGGCCGTAGTCATATGCATTGCGGTGATATTTGCCATCTTCTTGTGCGCTGCTTTGATACTATTATATTTGGTGAAAAGAAAATCAATTTACTTTTCGATTGGAGGAAAACAAAAGCACAAAGGTGAGTAGAGTTTCATCAAGTGTTGCTGGATGGTATGAAGTAAAGTCGTTCTGATTATTTATTTGATCATGAGCCAGGTGGATAAAAGTGAGAAAAAATCATGACAATATAAAAAAACACTGAGTCAGGAGTCACAGGAAAGTGATGCCCGTACTACTTTAAAAAATCAATGACTTTGGAAGGGAGGCAAATATGTTTCTCTATCCCACAGAATTTGTTGTGAAATGTTGTGCAATTAACGCCTCTCCATACTTTATCAGCAGTAGTCGAAAATCCCTCCTACTAACTACTGCAGAAAGATACGTTACCTTTATTTTCTGACACCTTAAAAACTGCCAGTTTATGCTATGATGTAACACCCCGATGAATAAAGCAGGAGTTGATTGATCATTCGGGAGATTTTCGCGCAAAAATGTTTGACGTATTGAGAAACTGACAGCTTTAATGACCTCGATAAGTCTGTAATTTTGATCACGTTCTTATGGTCAAAACAAAATAACTTATTCAATTTGCTATTGCAAACCTCGATAAGCTAAGCTTTCCCCTCACTCTAAACAGGCAACACTGATATAGCGTGGCGAATTTACGAATTAACTAGAGCTGACTCTGTCTTCTGCTAATCTAATGATAGGAATATCGAGGATGCATCACTGTAGTAAGTTAAATTGCGAGGGAGTTTCAGAATTCACCTTTTATAAGCGAACCACTCAGAAGTGCATCTAGGGTAAAGATCATGAAAAGGTCTTTATTAGTGAATCTTTTAAAGCCAAGTGAAAGAAATAACTATCCAAAACATTACGTTACAAACTTGTGATCAATGGAAATCGAGGACGCATGAACAAGTCGACACCTACATTTTAAGTATAAAGAGGTTGTTTCAAGAACGTTCTTGCATTTGCCGCGACTTCATTGACACACCTAATTTGATAGCTCTTGAAATGCAATGTTTACATCATCATAAACTATTCCTGAAGCTCAGAATCTCCAAAATCATTTTTGCAACTTCGCAGATGGTGGTCATCAAGACACTTGTGCTTTTATTCAGAGAAGACCATAATTCTGACTTACAAGTAACACTTTTCTAAAGCATAGAGTTAATTTAACACTAACACTTTTAGAAAGCGTTAATAATTTAGTGGAGTAAAGATGCTATTTGAAGAATTTGCTTTATAAGTCATAACCGCATCATCGAATCAATTACATTCAGCAGTTGCTATTCTATCTGCTAAAAGTTTCCTTCCAGTGTCAGAATAAGGCGCTAGAACTGACATTAACACGCTTAATAAAGACTAGCCGGGTTGTATTTTTCACTACCAATCTTGCATTTTCAGATGCTGAATCTCCTACAGATTTAGATTATACTCCAGGAAACTATAAGAATGATAATTCGGCCGCATGCGAGGTAAGCATTGCCAGTTGTTTTGACAACCACTCCAATTTCATTATCTCTGCACCCTTCTTCAAGACCATTACATTTTCGGTGACACAAAATTAACTGTTTTTCGCAATTCGTGTAAAACTAAAACTGTGACAACTAGGTCAGTTTGCACTGTTAAGTGTGCATAGAGTTCACATAATCACCTGTCAAGTCAGCTTTCAAAAAGTGCGTTACTGTGTGAACACATGCAGTATCAGAATAGTCTTTCAGATATATATGAATAAACTCAATTTATGGATAGTTAATGCTCCATAGCACTTTTACTAAGCCCGTACAGAGCCAATAATCTAATAAGTTTAGTAGCTTGTCAAGTTTGTGTTTTGTATAGTATGGTTTGTAATGGAAAAATACAAGTAATTTTCGGGTTTAATAGTAAAAGGCATCCAATAACAACGACATTCATCACTAGGAGAAATACATATTTCAACCAAATTTGATAGCATTCCACCGATGACCATCATCTATTTCGCGCCATCGTTCCTCCAATTGCATGCTGTCAATCTACCTTCGATTAGAATTTTTTCACCAACTTGATTTTGTATCAGTTTAAATTTAATGATTTCACAAGGCGCTATTTAGGCTAATGCAAGTAAATTTATTCTTACATGAACCGAAATGGCCAAGATAACGCCACCTTTATGCCAATTAAAATATCAAGTGAGGATGAATGGACATGGCACTATGATGCAAAATAATCATGCTTCCACGGGAATTACTATTGCTGGTCCAGAGAACAATAAATCATTTTTTGCTCATGGCGATATGCCCTACGCGTGGTTATTGAAGGTTGCCTAAATTATAAAGCACCTGAGAATGATTAGAATCCACAAAAAGTGAAATTTAAAATAACCTAGAACGTTAGTGGTTCAATTTATCCTTGTCTTCGTCTAAACCTGCTCGGTATTCCATATCAAAGTTTATTTTGATCCAAAGCCATAGATTTACATTGTTTATGCAAATAATGTGGATTAGTTCTAAGAAATATTTACGGTTTTATGAATCACGATTCAAGGATTGAATTAGGTTGGTCGTAACCACTGAGTACAAGTCGTTCAATAGACATTTGATATTGTTTATACTAAGCCAAATTTAGCAGCAAAAAGCAAAATTTTTTAACGAATTGGATTTCGAAATTATTATTGACTGCGTGTAAGGGCCGGGAGCCATGTTGAAGGGCACATTTTTTGAGAACCGGACAGCTTTCATTGAAGCTTGAAACATCACATTGTGAGCATGTGTTACTTGCTGAAGAGTTACTGGAGAATTTGAAGGCCTTTGTTGAAGTCGCTAAGGTGAGGTCACCAGCAAAGGCGATGAATGCGATTATCACTAGCATAGTGGGTTTGAGTAGTGGTGATTCACCTACATATTTAGTTATTTGCATAAAACTCGTGAGCTAACGACTTTCATCCAAACATATCGTTGTTTCTCTGCTCAAGTTCAGGATGCTTATTTCACTTATCATCTGAAACTTCCATTAGTAACGGACACGTAATACCTAAAAACAGCCTCTACAACTTTTCATTGTTAAAAAATATCCCATTTTTTCGCATAATTAAAAAAACAGTAGAAATCTAGAAAGTGCAACTTTACCCGCAATTTGTCGCCGAATAGACAAATTCGATAGAATGAACCTCGTATGTGTTTGCATGGCATCAACTCACGCCATTTTTCTCCCTACGATGGGAGTTATTTGAGTAAAAGTGATCAGACTAATGTGCGAGTGTCGTAAAGGATGTGCAAGGTTCTTTGCATGTTAGAACGTGCAATACATACGGCAATGACTTTAGGGTGGAGAATCAGCTTCATTATATCTTATACTCTGCAACAGGATTTTAATGCAAAGATATAAAGCAATACTTCTGACAAAAAGAACACATGCGCAATAATTAACACATCTTTTGCTGGTAATTCCGATAAAATTGTTACAAAAACGATTCAGTTGTTTCATGCGATCAGAAAGGACTAGAACATTGTGATTAAATAAAATTAACTGGGTGCCCGCTGTTTGACTCGGGAAAGGATATCACCTACTTCGTGTTGAAAAAATGGGCACAAACAGCACTCGAATAGGTGACAGTGAATCCCAAGGCAAGGGTAAGGATGGTCTTCAAGGTCAAAAACGCCCAAGATAGACACAAAGTCGTGGAGGCTTTTTTGATGGAATTTCGCATACTTTTGTTCGAATATTTACATTTCAACATTTTAGGGCATTGAGTCCAATGAGAAAGCATCACTATATCGTATGGTTCCAAGCACGCAGGTGCCAGGGAAGATAGTATTTGTGGATAACAACTTTACGAAGCAAAATCTGGCAGAAGGTCCCGTTTCAGAAGCGCTAGCCCTCAGTCCGATAGGTAGGCGGATTCACGTTTGGCTAACGAATTCTCAATTAACTGCCATTAACTGTAGTAGACTATATGTAATGGATAAGGTAGAAAAATCCCATAATCACGAAAACAGTCCCCTGTAAGCCATTATTGCCTCTGTCAGAACAGTGTAGAATACTGGATTCTGTATATACTGTTCATCTGAATGAGACTAATTACCTTACCGGATACTTTTACTAATTTAAGCTAATAGCAAACATGCTGCTGCCTCCATGCAAAACTACAGTCTCCGAAGAGGGCTCAGTGCTAGTGCGGCAGTATTGACGAATTTGGAGTCAGTGTACATCACTGGCCCAGGCGGACCTGAAGATCCAATGGGTGCAGCCGAATATCCGGAATTGGTCACTCGTTCTGCATTCAACTGTCCTCACACCTTATCGCAAGATGGTCTTCAGGGTACGGAAGTCCCACCTGCAGTATTTAGAACACTCATCGGACCAAAAGGCACCACTCAGACTGTTACCCTCGGCCAGCATGGTGATTACGACTCTTCGACCTTTCAGCGGCGCTGTACCAGCCTAAAACCGGCATCCGGAATCGTGGCTACCGCCAACCCATATCACTACATCCATCCTCCTTATGTTTACACGCCCATAGTCGGCAGTACCGCTTCTCAAGTAATTCACTGCAGAGGGATTTCAGAACCAAACAACATCGATACCTCGCCTTACTTTCCACACAGTGTCCAACACAGACAACCATACGTCTTCACCAACGAAAGACACACCTATCATGATCTGGACATCCTTGCGGCCACACTGCAGCGCCAGCACGGCCCATTGGAAAAATTTGTGGAGATCGTTCCACCCGGAGTTTCAAGCCCTTCTTACGGTAGATTGAGACAACCAATCAGCAACTACGCTAGAACCTCCCCGAATAAGCGTTACGCTGCCCTAAATGCTCGAATGGCTCCCGATGGTGAGGTGACCTCACTCATGGAGCCAATGCCAGCCATGAAACGAGTGAGGATACCTATTGCACCGATAGCACAGGTAGATTCAACAGTTGAAGGAGAGGGCGGCAGAACCTCTGATGAGGGTGCAAGCGAGGCATTCGACCAACAAAGCAGTCCAAACTCCCTCAGTGAGGCTTTTGCTGAGGCAGGCTTTGAAAGGGACACGGTAGGGGATGAAGAAGAGGAACCGGAATCAATTACTGATCCAAATGCCAAGTTGATTGTATCAGAAGGCGAGCAAACACTGACATTGAAGATGAGAGCAGAAGGGAAACAGCTACAAACGCCTCCACATCACCAGCCGGAATCTGAAAGCCAGGCGACGGAAGAAATATTGGTCAGTTCTGAACCTGGATTTCCACCATCTACTACAGAAAGCGTTCAGCAACCATCACCATCGCAATTGCCGCTAACTTACACAGTACATGAAGCAAGTTTTGTTTAAAAACTCAAGAGATCTCCTGGATGCCTTAATATTTAAGTTTAGTCTCTTGTCCGAAACACCATTGACCCTTAAATTTGACTTTTTCTATTGTCAATTCACTACCTCTGTTGCCTTTGAAGAAAACATTCGTAGCATTGCAAATGCAGGCGCAGCGAACCCTTGCTACACTGACGTGGTAATTATATCATAGCTGGTGTGGCGACAATTTGAGTATCTACAAAACTGATTTCTTGCATCAAATTTGGAAGAAAATGATGCAGACCACGAAATGTCTATCAAAAGACATAATTCTTTTTCGATCAGTTTATAAGGTTGCTAAATGATGTTAGGAAAACATTACATTGTGCGACAAAACGCGGTGCTAGGAGTCCCACTGCGTAGCTAAATTAAGCAATTGCATACACAATTTCAAATTTGATCAGATTGCGTCTGTTTCATACAGGATCGGTGACCGGTCAGAAGAGCAAAAGGTTACCTGGCTTTTGAACAGAAATCCGGGAAATCAGTGAGAGCCAAAGGATTTGAAAGACGCTGCAACCATTAACAAAGAGACCGACCCAAGTGTTACCGATTTTTTCGAAGCTGAGGCTACCTTAGAGAAAGCACTATCCCCCGATCCCTAAAATAGTTTTGGTCTTTCATTCTCCCTCATCATGATTCTACAGTGCCAACAGGGCAGTTAAAGAACCAAAATCGAACTATGACACCCTAAAGTGACAAATGATTACTCAGTAGTTGTGTCTAGTAGCCGAAGGAACCAAAATTCACGTTAACTAATAGAACTGAAGGCAAAAAGACGACTAGCAAGTCTCTCCCCAACATCATCTGAGTTAATTGAGTTTTTGCCAAAGTTCAATTTATCCAGATCACATACTGTCACCAAACAACTATTATCTTGTCGCAGACGAAAAGAAAGTAAGCCACTTGCCAAATTCGGT